TTTTAAATACGGGAAATTATGATCTGTGTCCTCCTTCTGAGTACCAGAGTGCTGAACCATTAATAGAAGGACCAAGTAAAGAGGAAGTTGAAGTAGCTATCGGAAAATTAAAATCATATAAAGCAGCGGGAATCGATAATATTCCTACTGAACTAATTAAGGCATGCGGGGAAGCTGGAGTTTCTAAAATACATCGGTTGGTTAAAAAGATCTGGGTGAACGAGAAATTACCTGAAGAATGGAAAGAATCTATTCTTATTCCGATTCACAAAAAGGGTCCGAGGACGGATTGTAATAACTATCGAGGAATTTCACTCCTTCCGGTATGTTATAAAATATTCACTTCAATCTTAACCAGTCGAATTACGGAATACGCCGAGGAAATTATCGGAGACTACCAATGCGGATTTAGACGGAATCGTTCGACTATTGATCAAATATTTTCTTTACGGCAAATATTAGAGAAAAAATTGGAGTATAACGGCATTGTTCACCAGCTGTATATAGATTTTAAAAAGGCTTACGATTCTATTGACCGCCAGAAACTGTATAATATTCGAATCGAGCAGGGGATTCCAAAAAAACTAGTAAATCTAGTCAGGATGTGCTTGACGGAGACACTCAATAAAGTTAGAATCGGTAATAATTTGTCCGAAAAATTTGAGGTTCGTTTGGGCTTAAAACAGGGGGATTCTCTTTCGCCTGTCCTGTTCAATTTGGCATTAGAACATGCCATTAGGGAGGTAATGCGAACCGAGAAAGGGTTGGATCTGGGCGGGACAACATCCGTGCTGGGCTATGCTGATGATCTGGTACTGTTAAGCGAAGAAGTTGAAACTATAAAACTAAATACGACAACGTTAATGAAAGCCGGTAAAGAACTAGGACTCGAAATAAACGTGGATAAAACAAAATATATGGTTAGCTGCAAAAATGGCGATACTACTGGTGATATCGATATAGATGGTAATATGTTTGAACAGGTAGATAAATTTAGGTATCTAGGTTCTACGATAACTAGAAAAAACGAAATTGAAGAAGAGATTAAGGTTAGACTGAAGGCGGGGAATGCTTGTTATTTTTCTGTGACAAAACTACTTAGTTCGCGCCTCTTGTCCCGAAACTTAAAAATTAGAATCTATAAAACAATTATCTTGCCTACAGTTCTTTATGGATGCGAAACTTGGCCGCTTACATTAAGGGATGAGCAGCGTCTTAAGGTTTTTGAAAATAAAGTATTGCGTAGAATATTCGGACCGAAGAAGGATGAGTTAACCGGAGAGTTCAGACGGTTACACAACGCCGAATTGCGTGAGCTGTATCCGGGTAATATAATTGAGGTAATTTCATCGCGGCGAATCAAATGGGCTTGTAAAGTTGTTGGGCTTAGTAACGAGAGAATTCCTAAAAGGTTAATATGTGCGGTGCCGAATGGTAAGCGTCCGAGGGGTAGACCGAAGCGAAGGTGGGAAGATTGCATTAAAGCCGATCTGAAGGGACTGGGTTTGGACGGCGAACGGTGGAGGGAGGTGTGTAACAAGCGATTGGTGGTGTCGGCATCGAACCTTCGGGTTCGCTAAGCCTTATTATTATTATTATTTATTTAATATAGTTGTAAATATCATTAAGAAATAAAAAATAAAAAAATTGTTGGTTTTTTTTTTTTTATAGAATAGGAAGCGATAACTAAAGAAATATTTCATTTAAGTAATTATTAATTGCTTCGCTGTAAACTAGATAACATTTGCTTCATACGAAAATAGAGTTTTTCGTTGTTTTATTTTTTTCGTTATTAAAATCATTTAATTGGACATTTGAGCGGCTAAACTACGTTACGTTCTCTTAAAAAAAAAAAAGAAAATTTATTCATAATTTTTTTTTTTTTATCATCCTCCAACTATACGACAGAAACCCATTTTCAGAAAAACTTTAACTCTATATTAATTAAGTTGAGTTTTATCATTTTGATTCACCTCAAGTTGTGTAAAAAATGTATGTGATTTTATACCCAGCCACCTAGAATTACCCTGTTTTTAGCAAAAATGACTGTAATAAATCACTGTTTTTTTATGGATTTTTTCTTTGACCTGAGATGTATAATAACAAATATAAATTCATTAACAAAAATTTTTTATTTCTAAAAATGGGGTGTTCGTAGTGAAGTCAAAGATGAATGCAAGTAAAGGAGATGATTTTGTTTACGTCTGGTAGATATTTCTAAAACTCGAAAAAAAAAACTGATGTGTTAAATTCGGAGGCATAAATTACATAAGGAAAGGTGAAAAATTGGCCCTAATTGGAGACTTATGTTTTTCGTCTTTTTACATACCTAATTAATAGGTAAAGAGTTCAAAAGTATTGCAAATTTGTATATATTTTTTACAAATCTTCTATCTCCTTCCTGTCTTGATACATTTGATTTCCATGGAATAGAAGTTAACTCACTGAGGATTTCAAACCATTTTTAAGTTTATTTTGAGTACAATTCTCATAACAACAAAATACAACATCAATAATTGATATAATATGAATTATTTATATTATAATAGTACAATTAATAATTTAGTATTATATAAAATACATAATAAACTACCTCATTCAAATTTAGAGTAATTTAATTAGGGGGAAGGGGAGGAAGGCTCAAAATATGCCCCCCCCCCCGAAAACATATTTTATAATTTAATTGTTTGTACCCATAAACTTTCTGCTGGGCACTGAAAATAAGTTCCATACGAGCTGACTTCACCTCAAAAGAACTTGTGATATACGATGTTTTTTACAAGTATACATTGAACTAAAAAAAGTTGACCTGATTTCTGAAACACCCACCCTTTATACATTTTTTTTTAAAGGCACCCAAGAATAACTTTGTTCACTTCGCCTCACATCAACTGAATTATTTTTTTATCATGCCGTACTTTGGAAAAAAAAGTTAATTTTATTACGTGAGATTTAGTAAAACTATATTTAATCAGAGCAGCTCCTGGGGTTTTCAGAGTTTTATATTAATTAATTATAAATACAAAATATTTTACAACCAGATAATCTTCTACCCACGTTGAAAATGTCCAAAAATACCTCACCATTATTATTGAAAATATTAGGAATTATCACAAAACAATTGAATTTCGAATAATTAGAAGAGGCTATGCTCAAAGTAAGAACAAAGTAACAAATGGGTTTAATGTCATGTATTATAAATTTAAATAAATAAAATATAAAATAAACATTCCACGCGGTAAGTCATTTAAGGGCTCTTTAAAAAAGACAACGGTTTAACAAAAATCGCCTGATTGATTAAAAGATCTCTAAAGAAAAGATAATCATATAACAAATTCAGCAACCATTTTTATTGATTATCCATAGTGACAGTAATTAAAACAGTTAATTTATCCAATCTTAATTTGAACGAAAGCAACATCTGATCCGTGGTACATACGTGTTTTGTGAACTAATTTAATTCGATTTATTTTAATACAAATATATATTTTTAACAAACTGTTTTGCCATAACGTTTAATCTAGAAACTTGGGAATTTTGCATTTTTCATTTTGATGCCCCTAATCTTTTTATTCAAAATATGAAGACATTGGTGTATGTTAAACATAATAATACACTGTTAGTTATTAATTGTATTACTGAATATAAAACAATTTCATACGATATTGTACTGTTATATTTTTTTTGTTTGAAATAGACTTTAAAATTGTTTGAAATTTAAAATAATTAAAAATATATTATATTATAAAAATTCTCCAATTCGACTCATTCACCACTCCCCCCCCCCTCCCTCCCTCCCCTTGAACTGAGCCATTTGGCACCAGCTATTTACGCTCTTCCATCTCCATAATTTCCGACAAACTTCATCATTAAACATAATAGGCACTTTAAAAGCTTTAAGGAAAACGTATCAAAAATACTTTTTTTTTATTCTAAAAAATGTAGGTTACAGCAAATGGTGCAGTTCTGAATTCTTCACCGATCCTCTGAAAATCAGTCAAAGGGTTTCTGAAACTATACTTACTCTTCAGTGAAGTTAAGTATATTACAAAAAGAAAAAAATGTACTGAAAACTGATGTAACCAGGAAAAAAACCTATGCTCAAAATATGTAAATTTAAAAATTGGCTAAAAAGTTCAAGATTGGCTAAAATTTCGTCAAGCTCGGCCTTTTAATTTTTTTTTAAGATCTTAAAAAGCCACCCATAATTCAGAATACCTCTGACCGATTCAAAGCAAATCGGAGGGTCGGTAAATGTGAATCCATTTTGGATAAATACGTTATTTGCTACAACATCAATTTTGTTTTTATTTCCAATTATAATTCATTTAAATATATTTAATAATTTAAATGATTCTCTACGTGGATGGAAAGAAGCTGTCCACCTTTCTAGCGCGTCCAATAACGTTGAATTCGAATACACTCAAAATAAGCTTCAATACCAAATTTCGTGCTATTAAACACTTTAAACAACCTCGTAATTAGGTGGATCATTAAGTATTTAAATAAATAAATGTATGTGCTTAACATATTCGAAAGTAGAATGGCGTTTTTAAAATATCATATTTTATTCTTTGAGAAAAAGTCAACTGGAATTCGTAACGATGCAATTAATTTTGCGCCATCAAAATTTTTGAGGGGAGCATATTTTGACGATTTTTTTAATTTTTGAGGGGAGCATATTTTGACGGATTTTCGTATTTTCGAGGGGGCACATTTTGACAGTGTTATGAAAAGATTCATTCTAAGGGACAAGGAGAGGACATGAAACACACCGCAGCAAGTTTAATTGTGTATGCTCTACGATGTTTCTAATAACACCTTCGCTTGCTCTGTTTTTAAGAAAATATGAGCAATAAAATATTGTGGAAGTGGGAGAAAGGGGAGGGGTACATTCTAAGGGGGGGATGGGTACCCCCGATTTAATGCTACCTTCAAAAACCAGGGATGTAAAAACTTCCGGTGTATTCAAAATCGATGCCTATGCTCCTGGTATAATATTACAAGCCTATTCTAATCAGCTTTGGGAAAGTAGGTATAGTGAAGTAGTCTGCAGTTGAATATACATAAAGGTATAGTGAAGCAGTGGGGAGGTAAGACCATCCTGTTTTGTTCTTTAATTTCTGATAAGTAATTCTATACTTTAATAAACGTATGAAATGTAGTTGATAAAATGATAAATATTCTTACATACAATTTAATAAATAGCAAACAGCTGTAAAAGAATCAGAATAAAAAAGAAAACTGAATGATTCAGTACACAAAATTTAAAAAAATAAAAGAATAATCATAAAATGGGTTTAAGTATTAAAATTAAGCTCATAAGCATCTAACAGTAATTCTGACGTCTCTGAAGAAAATACCACCAGATAAGGTGTTGATATCTAAATCCATTACAACTTTATCATATAGATTTATTTGGATTACTTTAACATGCTTGGTATAATTCTAATAATCCACTGAAAAATTGATCCTTTCAGTAGAGAAACCTAGGTTTGTGCACCAATGCGCATTAATAACCCTCTCCAGCAAAAAATAACCAATGAAACCACTACTTAATCTCGTAACCTTTTTCAAACTCTCTTAAACATTCTAAATAGCGCTTAGATACTCTAACAATGAATAAATAATGCTTTAAAGTATTCTTTCATTTTCTGTATACTTCAATGCCTTGCATAGGTTTTAGTCCGTGGTTCAGACCCCGTTTTATCGAATTATTAACATCCGCCTGAAACTTGATAAATAGTTTCATCTCATTGTAACCTACAACTATTTTATTTAAGAAAACTCTTGGAATCGGGGCGTGTTCAATCTAGAGGGGAGCAAACTTTGTCTATTTAATTATGTACTAAAAACTCGTAAATACCCATTTCCTTTCTACTTGGATCGTAACATAATTTGATCACAAAATCGAAAAAAAGGGGGACTACAAAAATATTGGGCCGTTTGTCCAATATAACCTCGTTATTTTGAAAATTTAGGAGTGTAGGTCACTCTAAACGGTTCAATACTTTTGAAGGCCATTTTTTTTATCGATTTTGTGATCAAATTATTTTACGATCCAAGTAGAAAGCGAATGGGTATTTACGAGTTTTATGTAGCTAATCAAAGTTTGCCATCCTATAAATTTAAATCAGCCCAATTCCAAGAGTTTTCGTAATTAAAATAGTTATAGATTACGATGAGAAAAAACTATTTACGAAGTTTCAGGTGGATGTTAATAATACAATAAACAGGAGTCAGTACCACGGACTATTTGTTAATGGATAAAATGATAGAATGCACATACATTGGTTAATATGAAGGCAATAAGTTTGAAGACGTTGAGTTATTATGGTGTTAAGGATCGACGATAACTAGAATTATAAATGAAGACGATGAAATTAAAATATAGTTAGAGACTGCTAGTTTAATAAAAATCTGATAAATCTGTTTTCTCCATCAATGTTGCCAGTTTAAAATGACTATATAACCATGATGCAAAATAAACATTTTTGTGGGCTACAAGTAATTAGAAAGAAAATTAATTCTCATGAACGTCGCGGTCCATTATTGGATATAGTTTTTTAAAACTTTCTTTGGAACAGTGTGTTTGATTTTTTAAATGTTACATATTTTGTTCGAATGTCTATTTACAGTGTGCAAACAGGTTCTGCTCATTAGGCTTTTAGTTGTTTCAAAATAAATAGAACAAGATATGTCCGCCAGTACATAGTATTGATAACGTCATGAATATTACGGTTCTTATCACAACATTCCCACAATTTTAAAAGGCTGAAATAATATTTAGGACGGTGCTAGAAAGCATAGCAGTAGTTATAAGTTACTTAAATTGCTAAATAATATTAAATTTTTAAATTAAATAAAAACAACATGCGTAATCCTGAAGAAGACTTACATCGTGTATGTCGGCCGACCAGAGGAGATGGCAGTAGAGAAGTGGTTGCTCTCGGTCCCGCAGGCCGTAGATGAGGTACCCTCCTTCAGCCTCCGGGTACACACCCAGCCTGGCCACGAGGCTCAGCTGGTGGGACAGCTTCTTTTCCAGGCCCCTTATTTCGAGGCAACACTTCTCCAGGGTTGCGGTGACCTGTGGAGAAAATTAATCAAAATAAGAAAAATGCGGAGGAAATATCTTAAGAGGGACTGGAGATATTCCAGAATAGGGGCCAGTAGTCTTAAAAAGTTTTGATCTTTAAGAAATGTTTGACTGTAGACAATATGGTTGGGAAGACGGTTGGGGGTTGAAGTCAGAGAAAACACAGAAAAAAAATATATAATTTCTTTTTTTTTATTCATTGATATTTACAACTGTATTATTAAAAAAATACAACTAGTAAATGTGCACACAGTAATAATACAATCACATGAAAACGCTTGTTGAGAAACTACCCATTGGTAGCACTCTAATAATATATTTATATAAGTAGATCACGAGGCCATCAGACGCCTCGGAGGGTTCTCAGGGATTGAGGAGGAAGCAAGGTTTGAAACGAGAGGGTTCGGATGGTTATGGAGTTTGTTATGGAAGGATAGGTATCTGGATTGGGCCAAATCGGAAACATATAGAATAAGGAGCGTTGAGGATTTTACGAAGGATTTTGGATGGTAAGAATTGGATACGAGAGGAATTCGTTGGTTTAGTGGAGCCCCAAAGCTCAATTCAGGTCCAAATAGGTCTTATTATTGTCATATATATGAGTCGTTTGTAATTGATTGAAAGCTTAGAGCGTTTGTCTAGTAAATGCTGGAGTAGTCGGAAACGTCGAGCAGTTTCTTGTCGTTTCAGTCTTGTATGAGGTTTCCATGTGAGTCGTTTGTCCAGGTGGAGTCCTAGGTAACGGATTTGTTCAACTGGGATAAGTGGGGAATTATTAAAGGATGCTGTAGGACAGGAGGTCATGGGTTCGCGACGCAGGGTAAAGGTAATTTGATGGGATTTATTGGAATTTATTTTAATTCTCCAGTTTTTACAACATTCTTCAACGTTTGTGATATGTGATTGGAGAGTTTGGGATGCAGTTGATGGATCATTATTAACAGATAGGATACATGTGTCATCAGCATATGTGGTGATGACAGTGTCAGAATGGGTTGGGATGTCAGCTGTATAAACTGTGTAAAGGATAGAACCAAGGATACTACCTTGAGGAATATATAATTTAAAATAAAAATCTATATCACAAACAACCAAATTCCTCAGACGAACACTATCTCAGACGACAGAAGGATGACAAGTTGAAGTGAATTGACAAGTTGAATAACATGAAACTGAAGACCTTCAATAGACGACTCAAACTATTTCACTCAATTTTTTCCAAATCTTGAAAAATAGAACTGGGACGGGAACTAAATACATACATATACTTACTTAAACCTATATAGGCATACTTCTCACAGATAGACAGTTTAGCTAAAAAGATACACTCGCAAAAAACTTCAAACTTTCCAATCAAAAATATTACAACTTATAACTAAAGCATCTTGGTACGTGACAAACAAAAGCTTACATACCGACTTCCTCCTGCCTACAGTTGACAAACACATAAGAATTCTTTACAAACGATTTCACGATAATTTACACGGACATACTAACATAATAATCAGAGACATGGCTTCTGCTGACATACCCATCAATACGAGGAGACTAAAAAGGCGCAGGATGAGAGACCTCCTCCCTTAACAAACCATTCTGATTGATTCAAGCCAGAGAAGAGGTACTGCTGGGTGCTATCCTTCCCCATGACTGGCATGTCAGTTTCATTGCTTTAATCAGACCATCTACTGATTGTTAACAGTCGTCGACACGTGTAGATTAATATTGAAAGATAAAAAAAAATTGCCATCACATTTGTTAACAATACAAATGTGATGACATTTTTCATTTCCTATAATTCCCCATTTCCAAATTCCTCAGACTGACACTATCTTGGACAAACCTTTGACAGAAGGATGACAAGTGAAAATGAAATGGAAGACCCTCAATAGACGAATCAAACAACTTTACTCACTTTTTCCATATCTTGAAAACTACAAAACTACAACTGAGACAGAAACTAGATACTTACTTAAACCTATATGGGTATACTCCTCATAGATAAACAGTATAGCTAACAAGACCCACTCACAAAAACTTCATACTTTTGAATCAAAAATAAAATATAAATAAAGCACCTTGGTAAGTGACTAATAAAACCCTACCCCAGCCAAAAGTTGACCAACAGATAAGGACTCTTTACAAATGATTTCATACTAATTTATATGGACATGCTAACTTACTAATAAGATATACGGCTTTGACTGACATGCCAATCAATACGAAGAGGAGATTAAAAAGACGTTGGATGACATCCTTCCTTAAAAAACCAATAGAATCAAGTCAGAGAAGAGGTACTGCTGGGTGATATCCTTCCCTATGCTTAAGATGTCAGTTTCATTATTTTTAACAAATGATCTGCTGATTGTCAATAGTTCGTCGACAGGTGGAAATCAATATCTGAAGTTAAAAAATGAAATCCTTTTATTTTTATTTGTGTGTTTTCACAGACTGCTACCCTCCACCCTCCTCCCCCTAAACTTCCCAACAAAAAATCCTCTAGTACATAGAAATAATTATTGTGAAGATGGTAGGTGGTATAGGTTAGACCTGGCAGAAAAGTATTTTAAAATATATTATTTAAATACTAATTTACTTAATTTAAATCTAAAATACAATTTTAATCACCTAGTATTTCAATCAATATTTACTTTTAAATTATTTCACTCAACTACTTAATTTAATAAGTATTTAAATTTCAAATACAAAATACTTTTTCTGTAAACAATTTAAGTATTTGGTGATTATAATTGTATTTTAGAAACATAAAATACTTGGTATTTTAAGCTAAGGATTTTAAAATACTTTTTTGCCCAGGTGTGGTTTAGGATAGGGATACTCAAACATAGCATACGCCAATATCTCAGTCATTATAGAAGATAGCGGAAAAATATAATGTGTTTCGGAATCATTACCTCAAAGTCTTTGAAAGAGATATAAACTTAAGTTCTTGTTTTTTTTAAAATAACAATTCAGGTACTAGTTCCGTTTCGCTACAACAAGATGGTGGTAGGTTTCAAGATCACTCAGGGTACGCAACTCCTAGATCCTCGAAAATACCCGCATGTATTCGAAAAAAGACGGAGCCCACTGATCCCCAACTCTTGATTTTAAATTATCCACTAGATTTAAATGATTTCAAGAGGACAATTTTTATTCAATTAGAATAATCTATAAGAATTCCTAAATTTTTAAATAAATATATTTTGAAAATATAATTACGACGCTGTGGATTTTCCAGCATCAAAAATTTCTCTTTTTCTCAAATATACGAAAATAAAATAATATTGACATGGGTATTTTTTCTATGCATATTTCATTATCTTCCGTATTTTCTGCATTGCACATTTATCCGTATCTATCAGTGCGGAAGAAATTTCAATTTAATTTTAATATGTTGATGTTAATTACATATTCTATCTTCAACAGGTTATATAAAATTAATTTTTAGCAGAAGAGATTTTCCTTATTATGTATTTTATTATTTTACATATTTACGAATTAGAAAGACAGGAATATAACGCGACCAAACCTAAACAACACGTGCAAGTCAAGGCAACTCTGTCAGATGTAAACAGATAGTCAAATACTTGGCTACTTTCGGCATTCTTCGGGAATCTGGTAATAGCGGGCTAGAGTGATCTTGATATCGGTCACCATCTTGGAGAAGCAAAAGGGAACTAGTACCGGCTAATTGGTAAATAATAAACCATAACGGAATAATTTACAGAGCTTTTTTATATAACTTGATGAGTCATCCACTCTTTCTTATGTAGGCCCAGACAAGAAAAAAACTTAAGCCCGCATGACTAATGCAGGATGCAACAGTGCAGAGATGAGTACCAGCATATTTCTCTCCCTATATGTGAAATTTAAGTTTATATTTAAAGATAATTCAATGTAGCAACATATCTTAGGATTTTATAATTCACTCATGAGCACCCTTCCATTTTTACATGAAGATTTTATCACGTTTCCAGCAGAACATTTGAAGCACAAGCGGATCTACGGGGGAGCTTTCGGGCTAAAGCTCCCTCCCCCCTCCAAAAATGGTAAAATGTAACCATGTTTTACAGAATAAAATATTAAAAACTATCTCTTAAAGTATTCTTGTTCGTGTAATTATATTTAATAGGACTTTAAGAACCACTTAAACATCATTTCATATAGGTAATTAATTTCTTTATTTTTTTTTCAAATTAATTATCGTTAAACGTATATGAAAAAAAAATCATTCGGGCTGAAGCCCCCCAAAATTAAATCCTGGATCCGCTAGTGATTTGAAGCATCGGAGAACTGAGAGTTCATCTCACTGCCTCAAACCTTTCAATAAAAATTAAAATATCTAATATATTCAATTGCTTTATCAACACATTGCAAAGAAACTAATACATAAACATAATATATAAAATTTACTTTTATAAATAGTATTATATTGTTCGTTTTACAATAATTATATTGATTATAGTAATCATCATTTTTTATAAATAATTAACTCTTTTTTTATGAGAGGTCTATCGCTCCTTCCCCCTCCAACTAAAATAGAAAGTTTGCGCGTATGTCAAACGGTCCTTTCATCCTTCTTGAATTTTGTTAAGATCAGAAGTAGTGGATCAAAATTAATTACTCGTTTCTTTTGAAACTTATCTTTAGGTTGGATTCGTTTAATCACACATACATCTTAAGCATATGCGTTTGCGTTTAATATTACATTTATGACATAAATTAATTAGACCATAAATGCTTTTTATCTTTTATTAACTTCGGGTCGCGGTGACAATAGGCGTTGACACTGTACCTACTCTTCGAGAACTCGAGGTTAACCGGGGAACAATTGCGTATTATTGAACTCGCGGAATAAATTCGACTTCACTTTGACTAAAATGCATTAGGTGAACTCCCTCAATTTCTCTTCTAGCTATATTAGAGGTATAAAGTACTATATACGAGTTCTCAAACAAATCCACGATCTTCTTGGACTACAGTGTGATCAGAGCTATGCTCCAAACGCTAGTTCCATTCTCTTAATGAACTTTTCTGGAGAAAACAATACTTTCTAACAAGCTATACCAAAGTGAAATGAAATTAAATTAGAGAGAAAATTGTCAAGCTATTTAAATATGATCAGCTGATGTAATTCAATTAGCATTACATATTTTGGTAAATATGTTAGGAGATATTACTAAACTGATTACTTTACTCGTTAAAACTGATCGTAATAATGAAAAAGCTGCGGTGCGCGCATCACACAACTTTCACTTACCAATCTCAGTTTAGTTAGCTATTTTCATATAGAGATAAGTCAAAGTGAAAATTACGGTATAACAATTAATTACCATATTTATTCGTTTGCATCACTTTTTATTTCCTTTTACGACTGTGTACATATGATATGTGAAATTCCAGTTAGCCGATTTTGACAAAAAAATTGTAACATCCTAGGCATGTACAAGCCTTAAATATGCAATTTCAGTTTCGTCCTACTTTTCGTTTTTGAGCTATAATGTTCATACACACAGACACACACAGAGACCATTTGACGGTACTTGGTTTTTGGACTCAGGGGACATCAAGACATGTATTTCCGTTGAAAACTCAGATTCGAAAATTTCACGATCGCAATACTCTCCCTTTCTATATTTTACACGTATAAGTAAGTTAAAGTAAAAAAACGGGGAAAAGGATGTTTTAAATTTTAAAGAGAAAAAAATCAATTTAATCGAAGCAGTATGAGACAGATTTACATCTGGCCAAATTTTCGATGCGGTAAATTTTCTAGAATAAAAAAAAATCAAAACCGAATAACAGATGATAAATTCTATTAAAGTGTAAAAATTAAAGAGAAGGAGATATGTTAATTTTATTTACTTTTCTTTTTTTTATAATGAAAGAAATGTAATAATATTTGTTTTGGTACTCTCTGAAAATTAAGTTAATCAATGTTTGTTATTAATAATTTGTTTCGTCTATACAAAAAAAACAATAATCAAATAACATAAATTTTACAATATAACAGAGGTGTCAAATAAGCGGCCCATGAAGGGCATGCGGTTTATTTAATTATATAGTTCGTTTTAATTATCTTATGTAAGTAATGAATGTATATAACGACTTTAAATAATAATATTTAAGAAATACGTCAATTTTATATTGTAAGGATGAATCTTATTAATAAATTCGGCTCATTCCCAATCTAATTTATTAATACCGTTTGCAATAAATAATAATGATAACATTTCAATTGGAAATTAAATAACTTCTTAAAAATTTTATTTATTTTAAAATTAAATAAGACAAGCTATATGAGTTATTATTCGAAATGAAAACAGGATAACAAAATTGTTCCAACTCAGGTTATCCACCTGAAAAACAAATAAATATTTTGAATGATTGATATTAACGAATATTTATCATAAAGCTATATTCATACAAAAGATAATCGTTTAGTAAACTCCAATGTTTAAAATTAAACAATAAAAGAATCAAAGTGTAAAATAATTGAAGTATTTTTCTGGTACAGGATTTCTGTTTTGTTTGACAAATTTCAGAAAAACTAAATATATAGAACTAAATAAATGGAGATCATTTGAACAGCGATTTCCAAGCTAACTGATTTTAATAAATGTCAATTGACCAACTCTCTTCAAATTCACAACTAAAATCTAGTACCATAAAATGTCAAATCTAGTCGTTACAGCATAAACTTTACACAAACCTGCTTAAATTAGAATAAAAATAAAAGGAAAAAATTATTAGTTCTGTGATACGTACATAATAATTATTTTAAGTAGAGAACCTTCATATTTGTGTCAGGAATAATGAATTAGGAAATGACAAAGTTTACATTAAAGTATAGCTTATGAAAGACTGGTATTAATCTATTGAGGATCTGTAGATAAGAATGGCTTAACGATTACTAATGATTTGATTAGATATTCATCTTGAATTATAAAATTACAATTCTGCAAAGACCAATAACTTTAGTAACAACTTTTATAAATTAAAAAAAAATCATAGAACCATAATGATTTAAAAAAATGTAATTCATTATTATTTAAAATTAAGGTGACAAGAATGTACCTTATAACTGTTTCCACCTCTTCTTATTTGAGCGATTATCCATGGAAGCATTGGGTTTGACAACCTCTTGTCGACGGTTGCAAAACCTAAATAAGACAATTTAAACGATGTCATTATGAATAATTTCAAAATGAAGTCTCTAACAGTGGATACAAATGGACTGACAACACAATTAAACTAAACAAATAAAAGTTCGATCATCGGAAGGAAAACTCGCACGTAAGAGAACATGGCACTAGCACGACAGAGTACAGAGACCGAATACAAACTAAAACCTCCAATGCCTTTGGTTTGTAACGGACAACCGCGCACAGTGTTGCCTCTTCTTCATTTAAAGAAAAATAAGTGTCACGATAAAAAAAAAATAATAATAATAAAGTCAATTGCTAGTTTATAATTTCACCTGTTGTTTCATAGTAATATTTTTAGTTATCAAATTCTTTAAACAGATTCACAGTTTATCACAACTTGCTTATCACTCCATTATTTGGTCTATATTTATCCATTTACAAAAAAAGATAGATGTGGTTAATTTTATTATGGTAAAGTATTCTGTACTTATGGTGTATTTAAAATTTGTTTAAAGTCCCTGTTAATATTTTAAGTCATTATGTTTAGTACATCCCGTAATCATTTTTTGGAGAGGTATGTAACAGTTATCGAACCTTCCTATAAAAGGATGAGTTCGTTCTTATTTACTCAATCCTGATCCTAATTGAAATATTTAATTTGTTTTTAACCAAAAGATTTTTCTGAATCATGGCGTTTGTTTTCCCTGCATTTGCCTACATAGTTGCATTGATCAGTGATGCTGTGCTTATTTTCTTTTCCATTTTTCATGTAGGTTCTGACTTGATGTTTTAATTAATTTTTATTTTTAAATATATAACTTTATCTTCTAATTCGGTTATATAACTTCACCTTCTGACATGGTTTGTTGATTATTTTTAATTTTTAAACATATAACTTTACCTATCTTGATTTCAGGTGATAGCATTTGATGAACTAAAGACTGATTACAAAAATCCAATTGATCAATGTAACAGTTTAAATCCAGTAAGTAATTTGATAGTATTTAAGATTTTATGACATTAACATTCATGACACTTTTTTTTCTAATTGACTGATTGTATCATTTTCAGCTTGTTTTACCAGAATATATACTTCATATATTTTTTAATCTCTTGTTTTTGTTATCTGGACAGTGGCTTTCTTTATGTTTGAATGTGCCACTTATTGCCTATCATATAAACAGGTATTTTATTTAAATAATATATGAATACTTAATTTTGCACACCATACTAAAGAACTTGAGTTGTCATTATAATGCTCCTTTCTTGTTACATTTTTAATGACATGAATTTAAACCAGCATAATTATTTCTAGAAATTTTTCTAATCTGTAAAGCAATTTTTAATTTGTTTTACACTAGATTAGTTTATTTATTTTTAAAGTATAGTTCTTTATGTTTTTCTTTTATACTGAGATACTGTTTTATTCTCAGCGGCACGAATTTTCCACATTTGGTTTTTCAATTTAGAGGCATTGCTGTGTTTTTTTGTTTTTTTTTTTTTTTTTAAATTACCATATCAAAATCCCCTACTACCGAATACATAAAGCCAAATTTGAGCATTTTAATTGGAAATTCATCAACCTCTTAGTGGCATATCGCTACTGTTAGTGCAAAAGGTGGTATGTAACAATTTTATTTGTGCTGAAGGTGACATTTTGTAGTCTGCAACTGCAATAAGTAGTCTAGTACTATGTAAAATAGCAGAGAGAAATAAAATATGAAATTATACTAATAAATTATAAAGAAATAATCAGTTCTGTAAAAAAACTCAATTTTTACTTACGACCTTTTGCACTAACAGTAGCGCTATGATTTTTAATTTGAATTGTTGTGCCATGTAACGATAATATTTTTCCATGGAACTAAAGCCAAAAAGTTAATGAAGAACAAAATTACTGCCTTAGATTTTGAATAAAAATGTCACCATCCTCAATGATACATGTGATGCCTCTCTTGTCTGTTAACATCATGAACAACTAAATAGGATATTGTTGTATAAAGTACTTATTATAAATTAAATAGTTAAATGAAAATCTGTTTCTGTTATTCCTTCAGATTTTTATCACATCACTTTATCATTATATTTAACTTCATTAAATTATATTAACAACTTTTTGGCCATTTGTCAATTACATTTTCTCCTGTTCTATTTCTTTTCGAAACATTTATATGTTCTACTGAACTTCATTCTATTAGATATATATTGTATAAGAAGTTTGAATAATAAAAATTACTGTTCTTTTATTTATCCACCTGCTTGTTAATTTATTAAAATATCCTTATAATATGATTTATAATGAAAATGTGAATTTATTATTTCAGAATCCAGAATGTTATCGAAAAAATTCATATAAATGTAATTGCTTCCAATCGAATTTCAAAGTTTACTGGCTTTTTCCAATGTCTAATAAAACATTTTAAGTTCTACAATAAAGAAATTCTATCTTGATTATTAGTAAAGCAGTCTTTAAAATGTAGTTTTATTTTATTTTATCTCTTATCATGATTCTTGTCAAATTATTTTTCTTTCCATATAATTAACCTACATTAAATCATAATGTCAATGCTATTTTTTAATGTACATAAAATCTACTTTAGGTTCATAGTCACAAAATATATCTCACTTATATATCTCTAGTTAGGTTTCTAGATCAAATAGTGGTATCTACATTGAACAAATAGTAGTGTCATCATGTCAGTTTTATGACAAGGAAAGGTTTTTAAAAGAAGCATGTTTTTTATTGAATTTCAGTTTTTTCTTTTTGTTGTATTTTTTAATTCAAAATATTTATCGCAGGAGTAAATATTCAAAAAGTATCCAAAGATGGATTAGTTTTATAATTTTTACCTCTTCTAAAACCAGTCTACATATTCAGTCTCTAAACATTGCATTCTTTCATTTGCTATTGAAATAACATATCATATCACCAACCTTATTATATTTTCATTCATTGAATTAATGTTCATTAACCTCCCTTGGCAAATTAACGCATAAGTAACTGCAGAAATAGTACTTTCAATTTATTTTTATGTAAAAAATTGATTTTTTTATTTAATTTATAACTAGAAGCAACTGTTCTTTACAAAGATTGCAATTATTACATATTAATTGGTTTTAATTTTCTTTAAAGATACAGAACAAGGCCTGTGATGTCCGGACCTGGTCTTTATGATCCTACTAGTATTATGAACGCAGATGTCTTGACGACCTGTCAAAGAGAAGGATGGGTAAAACTAGCCTTCTACTTGCTATCATTTTTTTATTATCTATATGGGTAAGTTTGCTTACTGCTACATACTAATGGAATTTATTCAAAACCATAACACAAGTTTTAAATAGCATATTTTTACTTTCACTTACCTATAAATGTAATACATGGTAAAGGAAAGTATTGTAACCGTGAAAATTTTTGAATCTTAGTTTTCAACGGAAATACACGTTTTGAGGTCCTCTGAGTCCAAATAACTAAGTCCCACAATGGTCTGTGTGTATGTGTCTAGTAGTTCTGTATGTGTATCAGTTTAGCTTAAAAAACGAAAAGTCGTACGAAACTGATATTACGTATTTAAGATAGGCATATGCCTTAGATGTGACAGCAATCTTTTCATTAAAATCGACTTACCGGAAATGCCACTTTATATCAACAGTGAAATACATTTTTACAATTTTCTCAAAAAAAGATTTAATTCTGATTATTAGTAATAATAATAATGATTTTGGTTACAAATTGAATGAATTATTTTAATTGTAATTTTTATATAATTCTTTAATAATTTTTTTTTATGTATATTTATATAATTATGTTTATCTAATAAATAGGTATTTATTAGATTTAATTGTAATATATTTTTTAAAGATTTGACTGTAATTTTATTATACAAAAATACTATATTATTTTCATATGATAATACATTAATTATTCAATTTAAAGCGCTCATATTATCATCTGATTATTGGATTATTTAAAAAATCTATTATAACTGGGAAAAAGTAAAATAAAAACTCACAAGCTATTCCATCAATAACTTTTTTTTTTCTGTACAAACATCTCTAAGTTCCAGATAGTTATGTTTCATATAATATGGTTCACAAAGATTTAAAATTGGCTTGTCTCCTCTTTAGACCAAGATGAACAAAAATATTTGATTATTGTTTATCCTGTCTTGTAAAACATTGGCATTACAAATATAGATGAAAAAAAAGCAAAATTTTATTTCAAACGCAAAATGCAATCAACAATTAAAAAACATACATCAACCTGAATACAAATATCAATTTGAAACTAGAAAATTTAATTTAAAGAAATAAATATTCGACTTGTATAGTATCGAAAAAGTTTTATGATGCTTACATGCTAAATAAAAAAACTTTGACTACTTCTTGAGGAGAGCTTTCTATCATGTATAAAATCATCTTTGACAGTTCTAGCATCAGAGTTCTGGCAAAGAAACTCTACAGTGTATGAAGGCCTCTGAATATTAAACTTTTTTATTATTATTATTTTTAAATAAAATATAATTTATTTAGAAGTATAGTTTAATTTAAATTCTTTCTAACTGCTTGATTATATTTTTAGTATGATTCATTCACTCATCTCAACGTAAACTACAGTTCATCTAATGCTGCTAAAAACTCAAGCTTTTTAATTAATTTAAATTAATGTAATGTTTTGTACTGTTCTGATTTATATTTTAAATATGTATTAAAGTAGAAGTATTTTTGTCTTAATATCAAGTGATACTCTAAAATGTTTGTGTGCCATTTTCAGTAAACTTTTTCATTATTTGTGCGTTATACAATATTTACAAAATGCAAAATGTTCTTTTCTAATATAAAGGTGACCTTCAATCTATAGAGTGTATATATGTAAATGTATAAATATATAACTTGTATTTTAAAAAAAGGAAATGGGATTGTTTCATTAAATCTGTTAAGAATTGTAACTTTTTTTATCGACTTTTGGTAGGTGATGAAAAGTTGACTTTGTTTTGATATTGTTCATTCTCTCTTCTTTTTTATAAGCTTTTTTATAATAGATACCAACCTTTTATTTAAACTAGAAATATGTGCAATTGGAAATATTTGATTATTTATTAGAATTTCGTTATAGTAAATAATCTGGAAAAAATTAAGAAACTTAAGTTTATATTTTGATGCTTACCTTGGTTGATTTGACTTGTGCTAGTAAAATGTTAAAACTAGGTGCAATGTAAACATTTTTGTTTAGTGACATTTTTGTGAATTTACCTTGTATAGACAATTAACTTAACAAGGAATTAATGCATAAATATATATATATTTCTTTTTTTACTTTTATTATTTATTATTATTAATATAATATTGATGCTCTGGTCTAAATGTGTATTTTTGACAAAGATGTTTAGTTTATATAATAAATTACTGCCAAAGATATACAAATTGTAATTGAGGAGAAAAAAAATTACAGATCCCTCAAGTTTATTTTTAATTTATTTATTATAAGAGGTCTTAAACAATTTTTATAGATATAGTTGAAGAGGTTTATGCTCAGGGATTCAGATGGTACAACTGAAGTTTTCCAAAAACAAAATTTAAACTCACCATCGATATTTTATATATAAGAGGTACACAATTGAACCCCTTATTATGATAATGTATTATTATTTTTCTTTTATCCTGATTTGACTTTGATAACAAAATTAATATCTTTGGATACAAAATTAGTATGTTTAGTGATAATGCAAATATTATTAAGTCATGTTTTAATGATCACTGTTGAAATTATACATGCACTATTAAATAAAATGAATATGCATGCCAATTTTTGTTTGAAAATATAAACTAATTTAAAAAAGCATTTTTTTTTTTTACTCGCCCAATTTTTTCATTGAGTTAAAGTTTTTACAATTTATAATTTTATTTTTGTAAATTTTTATTTTACTTAAAATTTACCATTAATAATAAATTTGAACATATTAATATAATTAAAATCAAAATCAAAATCAGCAGCAATAAAAAAGAATGTCCCAGGCTTCAAATATTTAAAAACATTTAGAACTAGAAAGTTATCCTTACATGGACCTTGATTATTCTGTATGTATTGAAAAGATATGCTCCGAAATTAATTAGAATATATATTTAAATGGAAATGAAAGTATAGAGTTAACTCAAAATTTTTAAAATGCTTGTTAGCTGGTATTAATATTAACTAGTTAATTGAATAAATAATCTTGTATAACTATGTTAAACGATAGTCTGTTCACGGAGAGAATACCTCTGAATAAAGTGGGGTGCAATTATCTTACATTCCGCCACTCGCCTTGCTAACTCATAACATGTTCCTAAAATGAATAAATGGGAATGAAGAATGAAGGAGATAATGGAATCAAAGAAAAAAAGGCAGATGACTGTGTGGAAGACGCCTAAAAGTTCTTCAGGGACATTTCAGCGGTATTCTCTTAGCAAACAGGCTGTAGTGGCATTATTTTTTTTTTTTTACGTATATAAGTATTGGTGACTATTGTAAATAATAGGTTTTAGCAGCTATTGAAAATTAGACTAATAAAATAGTCGAATAATAACTCATGTTAGCATTATATTAGCGAAAAAATTCTTAATAAACTGTTGACAGAAGCATTAATAATAGTCAGGAACTTTCTAATAAAATTAACCATACGTGAATAATAAATTTTATTTTAAACATAAAAAACTTACTGTATATACATTTATGTTTTATATTGGCTATGTTATAATAGAGGAATGGCAATTTATATATATGTAAATATATTATTACTATTACTAAAAAACGTGATGTGGTCCACATTATGATTAGTTGATTGTAATGATTTGATTTTGTTACATATAAACTGGTATTGACTAAACTATAAGTATCTTGATTAAACAATACCCTGTGAAAATAAAAATTTCCTTAAAGTATGTATTACATTTCAGATGTTGGTAAAATATATAGTCAAAACCAACAAAGATTGGATGTCTTTATAATAAACAATCAATGGGATGAAGTTTTGAATTATTTTTCCGTATAAAATAAAATGATAAAACTACAAACTTTTAGTTTTTATTTCTCTTAAAAGAAAGAAGAAAAAAAAGTGCTATACACAAATAATAACAATGCACTCTATTATAACTCAAAAATCATGAATGTTGAGGAACGAAAATGATCTTTACAATCTCAAATTGTTCACAATTAAAAGTTAATAAATATAGCAGTTATTTTAATCACAGCAAGAGCAGCATTGGTGTAACTAACATGGAGTAGTAAGAGCGATTCCCTTCAGACTGGCGCGGATTGGGGCCCCATGCCAAGAGAAAAAAAAAAAAATTTGTACCTAATAAATTGACACAACTTAGTAACAACCATTTCAACATCAGAAGAGGTATGTGTTTTTAGTATTTTAACAGAGCTTAATCATTGTGGGAAACCAAGTTTCAAAAACTTTAAAATTAAACTTAAAAAGGGAGACAATTTTAACCAAATTTTTTTTTAGCTTAAGTAAAAATTTTCCTTTCAACTTCATGGTTGTTTGAACGCTAATCTGGTAAAAGTAAATATATATTATATAATGATAATATTTATTTCGAAGTATATTTCTTTAAATATTGCTATAAAATATGAACTTATTTTGTATCAAACGGTGCGAAAGGAATATATATATATACATTGATAACACAGTGATGCGAAATGATTATTTGTAGCATTTATCAGATTTTGAAAGAGGGGAACTCAGAGGTAAAATTGATACTGAATGCTTCCATCCTAGTTACACTAATTAATTCCAGCAATAACGTAATTTAAAATAATTTTATACAACAATAATGTCACATTTCAACCAGTATAGTACTTTTTCTATCAAGATCTATAGATACTTTTAAATAAATTTTAGCAAGTTAAGTCTTACTTATCTAAATGACAAAGCAGATTACAAAAGGAATAAATTTATTTGTAAAATAATATAAAATATAATAAATATAAATGTAGGAATTATATCAGAATTAATTCAACAAAATTAGGGAAATGTATATATAACTAATATTAAACATAAATATTAAAGCATAGTTTTGGTGTTTTAGTTTTAAATTAATTTTCTGGATAGAAAATCATCTATAGAGTATTACCGATGTTTTAAAAATTGTCATATTTTTCTCTAACTTCAGTATAACTCAATTACTAGATATTGTGAAATTTGGCACTAAATCCTGAGCATTAATAATAATTATCAAACCAAGTAACTGTAGGAGTTCCTATCAAACACAATAAATCACTAAAGTCGGTCATTGTATGGAAAACTATTAGTCAAAAAAATAAGAGATATTATTTTTTTAGATACATTTGTCTTGTGATGGATAACCATGTCAGAAATTATGATAACATATAAATTAATAGCAATGTAAAATGTGAAATAAATTTTAAAATTCAAATATTGCTAATAATAAAACTTGGTAAACATGTAATAAATATTAATTTAAACACAAGCATGTGAAAATCAATAAAAAAAAAAATTGTTTTTTTATTAAAATTAAAACAAGGAACGAAAACCCACTTTAGCTGGGAATAAGTTCAAATATAAGCTTGAGAATAGCTTTCTGAGAAATTTTATTATTTAATTATAAATGGAACACTGATTAAATTATTAATAACAAATAACTTGTTATCCAAGCACAATGATATGTTTTAAGCTGTGTTGGGCAAAATAAATAATTTAAGAATTATCCATAATAATGGGATACTCATTTATAGTTAGAAATCATTCAATCAATATAAATATGAATTTTCGTATGCTTAAAATCCAAGAAATAATTCCGAGAACTACAAATAAATTGTTTAAAAGTATCATAATAATAATGCCCAACACTGGTTCTTTATGATATAATAAATAGTGAACATAAACAACAAAATATTAAATAATATAATATCTCTGTACTATAATAATCATACTAAATTAGGTCTTATCATTAGATAACATGAAATAAATACATAATTAAAATGAAACAACAAAAAAATTAAATTATTAATTCTATATCTTTTACGGTGGTATTAATATTACTTTTATCAATAATTGCTTTTAAAATATTCATTAAATTTTAATTTTACAACAGGGAGTTATAAGAATAAAAATTAACTACAATCTATTAAAATTTAACAGATATATGCAAGAATAAACCTTGTTCAATATAAACATTTAAACAAGAAGTAACAGTGTTGGACTGGCCCAACTTAAGTTTGAAAATTAGGAAGCAATGGATAGTTAACTTTGATCCCTTCTACTAGGAAGGCTTTTTATAGTTTTGTTTAACTATCCACAAGGTTCTCTTTTTGTTGTAATCAGAAAAAGTTTTCAACAAAATGTCAAATAATATAAGATAGAGTTATTTCTCACAACTTCCTAATTTACTATTTGTTTAGATAGATAAACATATATCTTTTGATAAAATATAAAATTGGAGTGGATCATTTTGTGGTTTCTCCTAAAAAAAAAAAAAGTATTCTACTTATAAGCCATAAATTTAACATTTAATTTTTATATTTGTACAATTAGGGGATAGGTTGACTGAGCAGGCAAAACACACATTGCGTAGCTGATGACAAACTGAAGTTAATATAATAAAATAACTACGAGTTCATGTCAGATTACCATGGGGGCTTTTAATTCTGACATTGATCCCGCACCCTCTCTTTTAGCTTGAGGAAAACCCTGTATAGGGGAAAGGGAAAGGATGGGGAGGACAAAATTCAAAAAAAAGATCTGTATGATTATTTTAAGGAGTTTTTCCAAAATTATTTTGATCATTTCTAAAATATCTAAATTAGGATATTTCAAAAATCAAAGTTTTCTAATATAAAAAAAAGGACATTTGGAGAGACCAAAAAAAAAAACATGGAGAAAGGCTATTTTTCAAACCTACAAATAAACATGACTCCATCTTCAACCATATCCCGTTATTATTATTATTTTGTTTAAACTGATATTTATTACTTTTTCATTACTATTTACTAAAAACTACCTATTATTAGATATTGTATAAATCATTTTATTCTGTAAAATTAATTTAATTAGTAGTAGAAATAATAATTTTTTTGTGGATTCATTTTTACTTTGTTTTAAGTCCACATATAAACATTTTTTATTCTTATGAATGAGCAATCATATGATTCTATCAAATAAAATTATCACTTGCATCGTTAGAGATAAGAAACAGAACAAATGCAGCAAGCGGCCGGTGATGTAAAAACCTTACCACCAAGCAGAAGGTTAAGAACAATTTTTTCATAAAAACCAACTAGAATTCTTAAAAGTCAATCAGGATATTACATTAGAATATTACAACAATTCTATTTCATCAGTTTTACTAATATGACAATGAAAAAAAATTTACTCTTATTGTGATAAGTCCTAGTGATCCCACGGTCATGAACAGTATAGCATGGGAGAGAAATGCCATACAGTTCTTTTCAAACTTAAGTTAGACCAAACTTAATCACTTTAGTGGGCACCATTAACAATGATGATATCGATGTCACTAAACTTGCAATAAATTCTTCAGTTTACCAAACGATATGTTAATTTTAGAAAAAAATACTGAGAAATAAAATCAATATATTTTCATTGTCAGTTATGAGAACATTAAGATATTAAAATTATTACTAATAAATTTTTTTCTGTTGAACAGAACAGATGATTATTATATCTCCATAAAATTTAAGATAATAATACCATCTTCTTGTCTTGTAAAAACCATTTCAATATTCATTAAAATTCAACCCTTATTAAAAATGTCTAAGAACACTTTTTATAAAAAAATAAGAAACAGTAATAAATAATTCAGCAATATTTCCATTAACATTTCCTTCTAATGTTCAGAGACAATCATTAAATTCTCAAATACTGAAGTATTTAGCTAGTTCAAGTATTAGCTTAAGATAAAAATTCTAATGAAATCTAACATTCTAAATATAATTGGTTTTAAGGAATCATGATTACACAATACATTAATATAATAGAAGATAAAATGGACGTCAAAATTATTATTAATTTTTATTAAATGGGAAAGTATATCAAGTATAAACTTATCTTCATTATTAGATTTAAGCTTTTTAAAAAATCAGCAAAATTTAAGATTATCTTAGAAAATTATTATTCAATATAAAAACACTTATAATATATCATAAAAGATATATTATATACAATAAGTCACATTAATAATAATATTAATGGGAAATTATAAATGCGCACATTGCCACACATTTGATATCTAAAAATAGATAAGATAAATTTACTTTAACAATTTGGACATTAACCATTCATCTGTAAGCTCATCTAATTCACGAACTTCATATACATGACTAAGATCGACTTCTTTTTGTAATGCCAGCTTGGTTCCAGCATACATAATCTGAAGATCAGTTTGACAATCTAAAATTAACAGATCAATTAATTAATTAATTTGATTTGATTTGATTACTGATATAATCTTCTTAATCTTATTACTACTATTAAGTTTATATCATATGCTACTGCCATTATTATGAGTTAAAATAATCCACATGATGATTTGTGATATATTTAATCTTCAAATTTACAATATATTTGATTTTTTTACAATATACAACAAATTACAATTTATTATTGTTCTGAAAAATAAAAAAATATGGTGCACGCAACACAAAACTTTCACTAACCGCTCTACTTTGAATAGAAATTATTTTCTGGCAATGTTGGGCTATCATAAAATTTTTAAAATATTGAAATCTTTAACCGAGTTAAAGCTTAAAGTTTATAACTAACAAATCATTAAAACCACTGAAATAATGATATTCCTATTCGTTATATGAACAATTGTACGATCCATTGATTATTGATTGTATGACTATTAATTATTAAACTGTTATTTTCCATTGCAAAGTTTACAAAAAGGGAATTGAAAGATTTGCATTGCCTGTCATAGATAGGTCAAAAGTTGTCACACTAATTGTAAGAGGATACTGTTGGGATATCACAAAGGGAAAATTCATCAAATTATTGACTAATTTAATTTTCTAAAAGTTTACGTGATTATTTTTTGGAATAATCTGATGACAGATACCTAATTATTTAAATATATCAGATCTAAAGTTTATTAGACTACAATAAATGTATTTAAGGTCATAAACATATCCATGAAATATTTTTATATTTAATTGTTTCTTTCACACTAGTATAATGAAATAGTATTTTAAACAATGGCATTGGCTTGATTCAGTGGTTTTTAAATCTATTTTTTTTTTCAATCTCAGAAAAACATTTAAAAGTTTATGTATAAAAAGAAAATTTCATTTAATTTCGTTGAAGACATGTGATTTACGTTAAATAATATTACTTTTAAAAAAATATTATTTATAATTTTTTCGCAGCTCTCTGTTACCTTCTACAACTTTATTTATTAGATATTACTTTTTCTAAAATTCTCTGTTTTCCAACAATACCTTATATGTTAACTTTCTGCCTATTATTTGCAGAGATTAATTTTCGACCTGAATAACAATTTTTCTTTTTTCTCCTTTATTCAATTATCAAATTCTTTCAGAAGTTATATTTAGCAATTTTTCATAACTTCTAACAATGAGAAACAAATATTTATTTAAAAAATAAACCAAATTAAAGGTACTTTAGAGGAAGACATTTTTTAAATTCGGCATTTAAGCCCTGTTAAGCAACATCAATAGGAATAAGACCTAAATGTTATTAAAGATTACTTAACTATACATTAATATACCGTGTTTAATCAAAATTGTTAGAAAATTGGTTTAAAGTGGCACTTCTAGTTAGTCGATTTTAACGAAAAGTTGCTCTCACATCCGAGCCATACACGAGCCTTGAATACGCAATTTCAGTTTCTTTTTAGCAAGTGTTCACAAACACACACACGCGAACCATTTTGCGGGACTTGGTTGTTTCGACTCAGAGGAGCTCAAAACATGAATTTCTGTTGAATTCTCAGATTTGAAAATTTTCACAATCGCAATACTTTCTCTTACGGTCACATATAGATAAGTGAAAGTAAAAAAAGACTTGTAGTCAGTAGTTATTGTCCGTAACTGTTCACAAAATTATTTATTGAAGAGAAGGGTGGTTGAAGTGATCAGTCAAAATAAAAAATAGCAAAAATAAATATTATTATTTATTTTTGATATTTTTTATTTTGACTGATCACCCTCAACCATCCTTCTCTTCAATTATTCACTACAGTCAACCATCAATCCACAATTAAAAATTATTTATTAACTCATCAGTATTTGCGATGTTTTTGTATGCATACAGATGCATATTCACAATTTAATTTATGTTTAGTAGCAATTAAAAAAATTTATATTTCATTGATTTCATGGAATAATTGCTAATCCTGACACAATTATTAAAATTTAATTCTATGTTACACAGGACAAAATAAATGTTTGCCCTTTTTATATAGAATGCATTTAACAGGCACAAAAGAGATATATGAAATGGTTCCTCAAAAGAAATAGGACTGATAATACATGTGTGTTACAGCCTAAAAAATATTTACCAGTCTCTAAAATAAAGTCAAAGTTCTAATGGAACAAATGGTTTAGAATAACTGACTTTTTGATGAAACGATGCAAACAAAGTGCTGGGTTTAAACTAAGAAGATTCTATGGCTTCTCAAAGTAAAAGATATATACAGAAAAAAAAAAAAATCAGAATTTATTAATTTACACATCATATTATACACCACACTATATTTATACTGCACACACACACATATATAATATAATATAACATTATATATACATAAGCACGTGTGAGTGTGTATATATATAAAAATCAAGAATTTATTATACATATATATATATATATATATATATATATATATATATATATATATATATATATATATATATATATATAATGTAATATAGAAGATATTACATCTGAGTTGATTAACTACAAAAAAATACTGAACCATCTTTCAACAACAGTGTAAAGAAGGAAAGTAAAGAATAGTACAATAACATAACAAAAATAAGTAAATGAAAAAGTATTGGGTAAAAGGTTTAATAATGATTGCACTTATCTTAATGATAAGTAATAGTGAATCACTGCCACTATCACACTGTAGGGATGAATCAGTTCTGTTGAACCTTATCTTGCCAGACAACAAGGAGGGGGACAAATAAAATATTTTTGCATCAGTATTTAAAGACGAGCCACAGATTAGTAATGCAATACTAGTCAGTTTATCATTTTCTCATTCACATTTGCTTCCTCATCACATTCAAGCCCCTCTCAGAACAATGAAAATCAAGTTAATATACATTGAATTATCAACCAACAAGTTAATCAATCTTACCCCTTGGTGTAATATATATAAAGCACATAGGAAATGAAATGCGGCCATCACGATGTTCTAATTTACAAGTGTAAACAACATATCTTGGTTCGTGGCTAGGCAAATAATCCTGAAGTTCATCAAGTCCAGAAATCTGTTTGATAAATAAAGCATAAATTGTGTGTTAATTATTTTAAATGCAAACATTTCAAAATTAAAACATAAAATGTAGTAGCAAAACACCCTCACCTCAATTTCATTATCCACACTTATCACCTGAGCCTGTCTGTCAACTTTTACTGCAATGCAATAAATATCATCTATTAAATTTTATTCATGTCACAAATAAAAGCTTATATCTGAAGTAATCAGTTTCAGAACCAATTTTTTTATTTTTATTTTGACAAGTTCTATCACCTGGCAAAGCCATATTGACATAAAAGGTCTAAATCCAGTATAAAAATGGGCACACACTCATAGGGTTACATAGGTAATAAGCAGCACAATATTTTTGATATCTCCTTTTAAATTTATAAAAACTGATTGGACCAGTTTTGAAACTAACTGCCTCAACTAATATAAAATAGATTCAACTTACATATTAAGGCCGAATTGGTTTCAAATTTTCTAAACCTAAATTTTTTAACTGCTTCCTTAACTGCATCGTCAATATCACATACACTAACATTCGGCTGAAATAAAATAAAATAAATTTGTTTTTGGAAAAATAAGATCATTTTTAAGAAAAAGAAAAAATATGTATATATAATTACCATTGTAACACCAAAGTATATAAAATACAGTTAAATAAAAATCCAAAGGCGAGAGGCGACGCTTAATCAATTATGACGAGTTCAGCTTGAGATCATTGTTTATATTTACCTGTTCCTTGACAACCTCGCCCCCACAAGACAACTGATAACCTAATCAGCTAACAACTCACAACAGAAATCGATACACAATAGTTATTTAAATCGGAATAGTAATCGATCATTTATATTCTACCCTATAATAATCGAACTTTTTTTTTTATACATTCATACTCATACTGATATGAAGGCTATATATGAGATATATAATAAGTATTGCAATCATAAAAAAAAAAAATAAACCTAACGTGTCAACGGAAATACGTGTTTTAAAATTCTCTTGAGTCCAAATAGCAACAACTCGCAAAATTGGTCAAGTTTATTTGAACAGATATTTATAAGTAGCTCAATTTAGGTTACACAATTAAGATATAAAACAATCAAATTCCATAGGGTATCTGGGCACACTAGCGTATCCAGCCGCGCCCTCCCTTAGATAGTGGAAAAAAATTCCAAAAAAATCCTATTTAAAGGAAAAATAAATATAGGAAAAAATCATCCTCTAAAACGAATTTTCTAATGTAATATAAAAAAAAATATTATCGTGACCAGTACTAGCGGATCCAGCCGGGGGCAAGCTCCTCTCTCCCTGGACGTTGAGAAAAATGTTCCAAAAAGGAGCTATTTGAAGAAAAATAAAGAGAAATATAGGAAAAATTCATCCACATAGAAGAATTTTCTAATGTAATTTATAAAAAAAGTTATTATCGTGACCAGCACTAGTAATTTCTGCCAGGGAGCGCATCCCCCTCTGGATGGTGAAAAAATAATTCCGAAAAAAGTTCCAAAAAAACAGTTATTTAAAGAAAAGAGAAATATAGGGAAAAAATCATCCTGTAAGACGAATTTTCTAATGTAATCATCATTCCAAGACAATCTCGACAATCCATTACTGGATCCTGGCTACCTCAAGAGTTTTCCTCCAAGTTTCCCTGTCCTGAGCAGCCTCCACCAGTTCCTGATTCCATGGATTCTGGTATCAGCACTGACTCCATATTTCCATCTCAGTTTTGGTCTGCCCACTTTTCTTTTTCCACCTGCTCTATGCTCAGCAGTTTCTTTGGGACTGATGTCTCGTCCCGTACAAATTGACCCTCCCATCTCAGCCTTGCTATCCGTATATATTTCACTGCATCCGACTACTAGTAAAAGTCGGGTAGTTCTTGGTTGCGTCTAATTCTCCATTCATTATTTTCTTCAACTGGGCCAAATGTCTTCCCAAGGACCTTTCATTCGAAAACTAATATTTTAAGCAACTTTTAAACGAAAAGAGTTATATAAGGAAAATTCATCCTCATAGACGAATTTTCTAATGTAATATACTAAAAACATTATTGCTGTGACGAGCACTAGCGAATTCTGCAAGGGAGCGACCTTCCCCCTGGATCATGGACTAAAAATCCCGAAAAAGTTCCAAAAAACAGCTATTTAAACAAAAGAGAAATATAGGGAGAATTCATGCTCACATACGAATTTTCTAATGTAATATTTTGTGAAACGAAGAATAGAATGTAAGAGCAAAAGTTGGCTCGCAGGGTGAAGTGATGTATATTTTGGGCTGCTGTGAGATGCGAAGGCTTTTGCTCTTGTCGCAATTTGTTTCTACTGACTCCAAACTGAGTCTCGCAGGAGAAATACATGTTAGAAAAAAAATTAACATGTATTGTGTATTAACATGTACCGATTATTTGGTCTTCGATTTGATCGGAATCGAAAATTATTTTTTCATTCGTAGTTTTTTTTTTTCTTAGAGAACTTCCATTTCCAAGCTACAGAGCCATTTATAGTAATCTGTCTCAGATTTTGACAATATTGGTAAAAATGAGCGTTCATTGACCGTGGTTATTGACTATATCACTTAATCAAATTATTAAGTTTAGATACTCCTTCGACGCAAAATTTGAAGTGCTTTAATATCTTAAAGAATACGTTTTTCGCTTTGATGCACTGTTGAAAAAAAAAAAACAGATAAATCTAGATGTTTCGGCTGTAAAATTTTTTTTCTTGGTGACCCATGGACCTATTATGGATGACCTATTAATTTTGTTTTTACAAGTCTAAACCCACGTACAGGGTGTCCAATAAGTAGAGGGAAATATTTAAAAGAGTGATAGTAGAACTCAAGAAATACAAACAAGTTTTAAACAGTGGTTAAATTTTTCAGCAGGAGAGTAGGAAATTAAATTTTTTTGATTTTTTAGTAAGTCACGTTTTTGTTGAATAGGATAACTAAAAAAACTATTTAATTTAATTAATTAACGATTGCTTCACTGTAAACTAGACATAATTTACTTTAAATAAAATATTGTTTGCTTTTGTTATAACCAATTAAAGAGGACTTTTGAGTGACTAAACTCAGCTAAGGAGTGGGGGGAGAGATGGTTAGTGGTGGGGGACTAGGTATGAGTGGGGGAAGGACCTGGTACAGAGGTGCAACCCTTCCCCTGAGTAAATTCCTGGATCTGCCACTATTTGGCTATAACTTTGGACCCACAACTCCGCGTAACAATGCACATCCACAAAAAGAAAAAATCTGTAAGAAGATGGTTCTACTGTCTGCACCATCTCCTCATATCCTCAGACATCTTGTTCACACTCAAGTCGTACGGCACATCACCTTTACATACCTACCTAAAAACACACATTGACACATTCAGCAATTTCAAAACACAATTCTTAGTAAGCTTGTCAGAACAACGGTGTTAAAAAACGGCTCGAAAGATTTTGATTAGACTCATTATTTCAATTAAAAAATATATGGTGTTTAATATCAGCTGGGAGCAAGATCATATAAACTCAGCCCTGAGATCACTGATGAGGATCTGAAACCCATCAGAATGTTCCTGACAGTCAAAACTTATTGTTTTAATAGACATATTATACAATGGAAACAAAATCTTTTAATAGGAACTATAAATTATTTCATGTTTGACGATCCAAAAATATATGATGTACTAAATTGTATCCCAGAAGTTATTTAAAATGCTATATATTTTTGTGAAAAGACTCGAGGTCCATAATCCATAAAATATTTCAAGAATTAAGTATTTAAAGGTGTGAAAAATTTATGATTACAATTTTTAATAACTTTACTTTAGTTTAATAACTAAAGACTAATTAATATATTTTAACATCAAAAATCCCTATTTGAGATATTAATTTCTGGTTAAAGTAGGATTTAAGTGAAATTTGTTTGATAGGCAGCCCATTTTTTTTTTTCAATTTTAATCTATGAAATCATACCTTTAAATTAAACCCATTATCATCATCATACCTTAAACAATTAATTAATTTGTTAGTTATGTATTGTGGGGATTTAAAAATTTCACAATAAGTATCCAGCAGAAATCACTTATGTTATCTACAGACATCATACAGTAGAGTATTAATTCCTCCTATGAAGAAGGAAATTGACAGAGCAAAGAGAGGTCATTATAATTTATATATTCACAATGAATGGAACACAATTTAATTTTTTTTTTTTTTTTTTTTAACGAATGTTGGACACAAGGCTTAGTTCTACCCCAGAAAAATATTCAAGATATGTTGTTACTAGATCACCTATAGTATTGGTCTAATACTTGAGGATTGGTTGCTCTAAGGAATGAAAAGAGATCCAACAATAAAAATTTCTGGCATGAGAAATTTTCAGTTACCCCACTTTCATTCTGGTGCAATAATGCAGTGCAAAAGGCGGCAAGTGCAATAATTTTAAATGAAGTATATGATTTTCTATAAAATTTCCTCCAAATATAAGGGTATAAAAAAAGAAAAAAACTCAAATGCTTATAAATAATATATTTAAATAAAATTCATATATTAAGCATAAAAAATAAGTAGCTGCATAACAACTTGTATCCACAATAAATTCTGAAATTAAAAATATAAATGTTTTAAGACAACTCTATTGCATTAAATACTAGCTTATCCGCTAAAATGTATAACATCAATTAGGAAGCATTAGTTACTTAATCATTCAACAAGATATTTTAGGCACTTAGTTGCATCATCTAGAGCAATCGAAATATTATTTTTTAATTTCTAAATCTAACAATCATTAAGTTTTATTACAAAATGGCAGTGTTTAAAATATATTAATAATAAATTGTATAGTAGTTCATCTAATGTTGTGCCCGATAGATTTATGGCAACAAAGAACACATCACTTTTCATCAGTCATTAACTAAATAAGCCTATTATATAAGTAAATTGTATATTTTCAATATAACACCATACAAATAAGACCATATTTATTCATCTATAATATTAGGATTATTTCATAAAATCAGCCAGCCACATTTATTATTTTAATCAGATTATAATACAAATTTCATTCATCTATAAGCTCCTAATCTTCATATTTCAGTTCATATTTTTATTTATATAAATACTAAATTGGTTTCACGAAAATGTTTAAGTAGAAAACCTATCTATTTCACCTCACATTTCTTAAAGAGCACTTCACTGCATTTTAATACATAAAAGCACCTATACTTGCAATCCATACAAAAGATGAAAATAAATATAGTAATATCTAATAACTAGAATTTCTTTTATTGTTTAAATATTCAATAGCATTTTTAACAATTAATTAAAACTTTGTAAAATCAATGAAAATTGTTTATAATGTTATATAATCAACTAGACAGTAATCGAAAACATTTCTTACAAACAAAATATTTAACATATTGCACATTAAATACAAATTAAACTGTTATTTCGAAACAATGAGACTTATAGATCCTATTTTTGATAAAGTATTGAAAAAATAAATAATGTACTTTCAAATAAATAACCTTTCTAAGTAATCATTAATTTAAAATTCAACATGAAAGTAATAAAAACAACCAGTAATCTCTCTTATAAAAAAATAATTAAGAAAATAATTTAGTATTAAAATTTTTATATGCTTAACCTTTTTTCAAATCTTTATTAACAATTAAGTCTGTCTCTTTTAAATATCTGAAGTTCTAATAAGAAAATAAAACAATTTTTTAATTTAAAAATTGAAATATGAAAAACTACAAGAAATAAAAAAAATGGAAATGACTAAAAAAGTAACCATTTAAAATTATTTTACTACTATTTTCCATCCAAAAAATAACATTTAATAACATAACAAGAATCTTTTAATTCTTCTACTTGGTTAAGAAGGTCTTTCTCAAGGCCTCTGAATTGTATAGTATACTTAAGAGTATGGAAGACCCTGTTGTGGAATGGTGTACCAGAAACACATAATCTGAAGATATGACAGGAAAATACTGGTTTGTGTCCATTGGACTTGACAAGAACTATTAGGTCAAATTGAAATTGAAAAAAGAAATATTACTGATAAGAACCCAGAGTAAGAATGAACATCCTGTGGGAAACAGATATGGCACAAACCAAGAATCAGTGGTGAATTTTTGTTACTGCTTTAAACCTCACTGGGAATTAAATGAATTAGTAAACTTATTTAAATTAATAAAATTTTTTTAGAGCAAACGCAGCAGTAATATCAAATATATTAATACAGCATACAACCCCCCTTATCCATTTAATGGAGAAGTTAAACCACAATTTTCATTTTTTTTTACCATGGAAGTAAAATATAATTCTTATGTTGATATCTTTGATACAAACATAAGTAACTTGCCTCAACTAGTGTCAAAATAAATGCTTTTTAATTAAATTTTAGCTTTTTTGGAAATAAATAATACTGAAATATTTATATGAATTCTCATACTATTTATTCTTAAGACCTGAATGGGTATTATAATTTAATTAACTTTTATCATCATTTTTTTTTAATAGGGAATTTTAAATCATAAGTTTAAACACTAATGTTTGACAATAGAGCAATTGAAATTACTGATGTTTCAAGTAATTAAATTAATTTTAATTACTAACATTTACTTCAACGAATATTAGTCAGATTAAGTACAAACAATATAAGTTCATAAGGATTAACAATCAAATTTCAACAAAAACAATACATTTAGATACATTAAAACATTCATGTTAAATAATGTCAACTGTTATTATAATAAGACATCAAATGTTTTTGCATAACCTCTCACAAAGTGTTTCTTGCTAGGTTGTCGATGGTGACTTGGGAGCGAACTCGAGAGCCTTTCTCAGTCTCCTTTTCAGTTCAGCTGGTAGTTTTTCATAGCACTTCTTACATACAGGCTTCAAGTCAAACTCATAAAATTTTGTTTTCTGAGTCATTTTTTGGTCACAGAGGGAGCAAGCAAAGTGGTGCACACACCAAGCCTTGTTCATAGCTGTGAACACTATTGACAAGAGAAAGTTATAATTAAGATCTTGAAAGTTAAAGTATTAATTTACAGATAATAAACAGACTATTATAAATAAAAAAACTCTGATCCAATAACCAAATTACATACTAAAATTATCTTCATAATTCCAATTTAACATTCATTTGATAATATAAGATATGCACCGTAATGCGTAATTAAAAAATAATCAAGAAGTTAATCGCTGGGGAGAGGTAAAAGGAGAAAATAAGTTTAAAAATTTTCTTCTACCTAATCACTCTCCTTAACTAACTTATTTTATTACATCAAAGCTCAACAGTATCTCCATCATTAATTAAATAAGTTATATAAATTACATAATTAAAAGAAAATACATAAGCTTCCTACTAAACCAGACTGATTTTCCCCATATGCAAGTCTGAGTTGTACCGCAGGTCTTTGTCATTCTATTTTTACATCCTTAAACAATTTCATATTAAATTAGTCTGTCATTATTTATTTATGTCTAAATACTGGACATAACTTGCTATCTAAAAGATTATATCTAATTTATCCCTAATGACTTCATTATCTACATATTCTATTTTTGTCTTCCCACCAATTCTTCTGAGGAAAATCATCTCTCCTTTATTTTTGATAAATGCTTCTTAATCCTTTAGATGCGCAATGCCAATATAGTGGCTCCGAAAAGAGTATGACCCTGGTGCACAGAGCCAATTTATTGGCTTCAGGATTTTATCGTTTAGTTGCGCAAAATCAATACTTTGGCATGTTACAGAGCTCTCTCCCAGGTACCCCATGAGTCACAGGTTGTTGCTTAAACCACTAGATATCGTGAGATGTTAGTTGCGGGTATATCTGCTTCCACCCCTTTTCACCTTTTCTATTCTTTTGTACACGGTTTAGCTCTAAAACTAACAGCAGTTGGTAGTGTTTTGAAGTGCGAAAGTTTAAAATAAGTATTAACATTTTTAAATCTTTAACAAATTTATAGTTTTTTTTTTCAATTGAAGTATATGTAATAAAATTTACCAAAGAATGAAATGTTTTTTTTTTTAATTTTCTATATCAGAAATTGGTTAATAATAAAAACGATTAATGAAAAAAATGAAAAAGTTCAAATGAAGAATAAAATATAGAATATATAAAAAAATAATGTAAATGTTACAGTATAATTTGAAAGTAATGTAAGACAATTAAAAAATTATAAAATTAAAAGAATGTATAAAATTAAAGTAATATAAGATAATTAATAAATAATAAAATTAAAGAATTTTTAAAATTAAAAAAGAAAATAAACTGTACATTGCAATATGAGCTAACATCATATTAAAGAAAAATGTATAAATCAGTTTTAAAAAAAACAGAAACATATTTTATTGTGAAAAGTGCAAAAGATGGGAGCAATTCAGTGAATAAATCCCGTGCACACGGGGTTAGCTAAACCTTTAGTACCCTTCGCACACCATGTTTCAGGCCTGCGCAACTGAAGGATTAAAGGCTATCCAATTGTCTACTCTCTATATTAATGCCAGCAAATATATATAATACATCAGGAGATAAAAGGCAATATTACCAACATAAACCCAGAGTTTTAAAATAAAAGTCTTGATACATGATTCACTAAAGTTCTTCCATTTTCTTCTTTCTCTGAAATTCTTTAGATATTATCAAACAGCACACTAATATAAATCACCGTCATCCTAGACCTAGGATGATGAATTATAGTTTTATACAATTTGCAATCAATCAATTGATACTAATGAACTTATTTTGTATTTCAATAAGAACTTGTTTTTCGGGGCACATGTTTCCTTTTTTTATCACAATGCTACAATTATGAAATCCAATAAATATTTACTTAAAAAATAAATAAATTCATAATTTACAAATACAATAATATTTAATGTGATGATAACACTAACCATCTCCAGCTATAACTTGATTACAGACGAAGCAGAGATTACCAAATAACTGATGGTAATGAGTCTCGCAATATGCAAGACCTTTCTTTTCATAGTGCCTATGTCCTAAGAATGGCTTCTCACATTTGGCACAAACAAAATGCTGTAAAAAATAATATTATTAATTAATATTAAAATGTTAAATAATAATTAAATAATTAAATGGATTCAATTTTATTATGTACATGTGTAAATAAACAAATACATAAGATAAGGAACTAAACACTAAAATACCTCAACATGCCAATGTTTTCCAAGGGCTGTAACAACTCTCTCCTCGATTGGTCTTCTACAAGCACCACAAATAGGAACCCCCATTTTGTCATGGCATCTTAAACAGTACAGCTCATTCTGAAAGTAGCATAACAATAATTAATTTATATTCCATTATTATAATTTTTACATTTCAAGTTTTATACAATAACATAAGTTAACGTTGAAACCACAGTACACTTCTTCTTACCATATATCTTATTTAATAGATTTATACATTATCTGGATTTACTCAGGGATTATTCAAAATCATTAGTTAACTAAACAAGAAATTTGTATTCAAGTAGTACTTTTTCTGAAAATATTCAACACTGCTTGAGAAAAATGTAGAGATGTTAGATTGCAACAGCAAGAATGGAGATCTAGTGGGAATCTAAGGAACTAAACTCCTAACTCAGAAGTATTAAAAAATTTATTTTCTATTTTCTATAGATATTCATATAGAGAAAGCTAACCTTTGAACTTGAGAGCAAAAAAGTACACAGCTGAGGGAGCTCAAAATCACACCCTTCTTAAATTATTTATTGGTCAATGATTAATACTGTCTTTGAAAGTACTAAACCATAAGAAACACTTTAAGAAGTACAGGCTTAGATTTTTTTTTAAAATTGTATTTATTTAATCAAACTTCCCAGACATATTGATAGGAATATACTTAACATGAATAAAAAAAGAAAACTTTAAATATATACATTTTTTAAAGTACAAAACTACACCACTTACTAACTTGTCATGTTTCTATTTGAATTTAATATAATTTTATTCGTAATGTGTAAAAAGAATATTCCTCTAATTTGTCAAAAGTAAGTTATTTATATTGTTTAATTTTAATAATTTATTATTCATTAATTTAATTATTTATAATAAACAAACAAATAAAAAAAGATTAGAACAATTATTTTGAAATCTAAATTTCACTAACTTGTTCATTAGCTGTTATCCCAGGTCTATTTTTGACTTCTCTAGCATCAGAATTGAGCTCCACTCCACAAGCAGTACAATTAAAATGATAAGGATGATAGACTTCTCCTCGGAAACGTAGTGGTTTGTCATCGATAATGCCACTAATAAAAATAAATAAAAATTTATATTTAACAACATTCAAATACTGTTCACAAAAGAAATAATCTTACAGAAAAAATATAAATTAAAAAAAAAAATATGAGTGATACTTGTTGGTACCCAACAACTATCTATAATATCATTCAGCTCTAATAAGTGCACTGATAAACTTAAAGATTTTGGTAAATAAAGTGATAAATATATGGGGGGAAAGTTGATTGTTTAGCAACATACATCTTCCATAAACGTTACAGCTAAATAAAACTGATAGTTGCAAATATTAAAATATTATTGAACAAGGATGTCATTAGTCATTAGATTCAGTTAACAATAAATGCAAATGGAGATCCTAATGATATACTCATAGAAGAGGCAATGAATATCACACGAAAAAAAAAAAACATACTAAAAACATAACTCACTGGCATTTGAAACAAGAATGCTTGTTTAAAGCAGACGCTTTAGCACTTGCTTTGCATTCATAGCATAAAGCTTGCCCATGATACCTCACAAAACCTAATTCTGCAAGTTCCTTATTACACATTTCACATCTAAAGCAACCTGGGTGCCAATTGGCATTCATAGCTTTTATAACTCTTCCAATAACGAATTCTCCTACAAATTTCCACAAATGAGTAGTTAAATGAAATATCTAAAAGATAAAATTACATTTTATGTTTTAACTTCATATGTCTTACCACATTTTCCACAACATGGAGCAAATAACATATGAAAATCATATTCACAATATTTTCGATTTTCAAATTCATAAAATGTGCCATCTGGAAATGGTCTGAAACACTGAGCACATCTAGAAAAAACAAACACAATGGGATCAATTATATCTGTAATAATTCAATACAAATAAAATTTGATTTTCATTTACTCACACAAAACATTGAGTGTGCCATAGTTCTCCGCTGGAATTGACAATTTTTTCTTGAGGTTCAAAGCCATCCCCACATCGGGAACAGTACATATTGCTCAATGACATATTCTTGACTCTGAAAAACATATTCTATAAATATTACAAATTAAAAGTAGCAGGAAATATTATCCATAAATCAAAACAGTAAAATATATTTATATTAAAAAACAAGAGAAATTCTGACAAAATGAGTTATTTACCAAGCACAATTTACAACTTGTAATATAAAATTTATTGTTAAAACATACTAATATACAGTGCTAGCATTAAACTCTTAAGACTTCCATGTATATATGTTATGACCACCAATGTCTTCCCCACAAAAATAAAAATGTAATTTAGGAGAATAATAAGAGGAATAAGTGAAAAACACTGTATATTACTTCATATTTTAATTTTATTATATTAATATAATTTTAATTATATTTCATTCAATATGTATCTAATTCAGTTTCTTTGCTGGCAGTATATAATTATTTTATTTCACACTTTTCAATTTAAAAAAATTGGTAGACACTCTTTCAAATGTTCATTCCCAGGCGCGTGCTCGACCCAAAGGCCGTCATTGCTAAAATATTTTGATCAATGACTACTATATTTCTTGGAACCAACAATTAACTATAATATGTTTCCAAGTGAAATAACAATTTAATTTTATCATCAAATTGGATAGTATTTAGAAGACAGTAAAAAGGGCATTTATAATCCATAATTAACTATCAGTTCAACTTCTATGATATTGAATAAAAAGAATTAGGTCAATTAGTTTGATCTATTAAAAAAATAAATAATAATTAAATGAAAAATATCCAGATAAATGAAATTATCATTCTAATATACTGATAATGTGAAAGTATGTAGTAAAAAATTAGAGTCCATCTATCTTTAAGAAAATATGGTAATATAAATAATGATGCACATATCAGTTTTACTTCAATAAATTAGTAGCATAGAGAATATTGTAAATAAAATTATTTTAAATAATAAATCTTTTACACTAACACATTGTGTGGTTTAATAGGTGGTGGTTTTTGTTTTGGCACATCATCAGATAAATCTTCATAATCATCACTTGCAAATGAATGATCAAATTGCTTTTCATCTCTTGTTCTTCTTTTATACAATGCAGAATGATCAAGGGATAAAATTTCAATTGGAGAAGGAGATAAATTTGGATCCCTATAACTTTTCATATTTAAAACTTATCAATAGACAAATACAACTGACACTAGAAACTACACAAAAATTTATGACTCAAAAGAAAGTCCAAAATTAATGATGAAGTCATCCTGAAGCAATGCCTAATGACAGTTTGGTCTGAGCTAACTAATAAACAAACCAGTTAAAAGGAGTCAATCAGGATCAATTCAATTCTAAACCATCATATACCACTTACTTCCTTATCGCATATTAAAGTACATATTTACACAGTATTATCACTATTTACTTTACAACCTATCGAGATAAAAGCTGATCAGTAATATTCTTCAGAACGCATAGAAGTTCAATAAGGTTGTTCTTATTTAAGTTCACTATAACTATACTTCATATTTAAATAGGCTATAGATAAGAACTTACCCTGGCATTTGAAAAGTATTTCTTTACAGCAAGTAGGACCTGAAAGAGTAAAATTTGTTCAGTTATAAAAAAATGAATAAAATTAAATCGAAAACTCCTCCAGTCCTTAAAATTAAATTAAAATATATTAAATAAGTATGTGAGGCCTCACCCAGTTAGTCTTATTTAAGGCCAAATAGGTCCATGTTAAATCAGGATAGTTACAAAATTAGGTAGGTTAATTTGATTATATATTAAAAGCAAATTAATGTGCTAACTAATCTAGAAAGTGAGGTGAGTTTTAAATGTTTCTTATTTAATATTTACAATGAGTTGGAGCAATTCCAAATTCAAAACAACCATATAAGGTAAACTAGATAGGGCCCAGAAGTACCAAAACAACAATACTATCATAATTTTCATTAAAAGCTACTTATTTCTAATAAATGTTAAAAAATGTCTGGAATTCTATATTAATATTATGTTATTCTTGGAAAATTCCGAATTTTAAATACACGTTGTTTTGGAAGGTTTCATGTATAGTTCTAAAAGGACATACCAACAAAAATATATTAACGTCTAAGCAGATCTTCCCTGGGCTTTTTATGTCTATTTGACTTCTCAAGAAAAATTCAAAACACAATTAAGCATTTTCCTTGATGTATGTATGAATACAGGTTGCAGATACATTTAGTTGATGCATCTCATTTATCCCCAACCAGGAGCACTGGAGTTTTAATTTCGGGCTCACCCTCTTGACAAATTGCTAAAAACCTCATCTTTCAACTCGTAGCTGACTTTAGAGCCCTTTTCCCACAAATAATGTTTGAGATAGCACATCTGGTGTTCTACATCTCCAGCATTACTTTTCATACGATGAATGTACAAAGTTATAGAGATGTACAAGGAACCAAATGTTATCTATATGTCCCTTGTTCTTCCGAATGAATGAGATTAACTGTCCATAAAGCTCACATGAATCATTTTAGTATACTGAGCAAGAGCATGGAAGAGGAACTATGTGGAATCAGAAGACAAGTGAGACCATACTTCTGCTGGAAGGATGAGATTGCCCATGATACGAGAATCCTACTTGGAATTCAAAATTGTTTAGTTGCTGTACAGGATCGGTACGGCTTGGACAACTATGATCTAGGAGTTCGACACTCAGAAATAAATTTTGCACGGATAAAGTAGAAGAACCATCAGATATACCGACTTTATTACATGCTTACAACTACAGGCGGATTTACTGGGGGGGGGGGAGGCTTTCGGGCTGAAGCCCCTCCCCCAAATGATAAAATATAACCATGTTTTATGGAAAAACATATTAAAAAATGATCCCTTAAAGTATTATTGTTGATGTGATCACGTTTAAAAGGTTTTTAGGAATCACTTAAACACCATTTCATATAGGTAGTTAGTTTATTTCTTTTTTTCCAAAGTAATTATCGTTATTTTTATGGAAAAAAAAGGTTTCGGTTTTGAAAAAAAAATTAAATCCTGGATCCGCTAGTGCTTACAACTATAAAATACTGTCTTGCTAGTAGGCTACACATCAGTGTAGATAAACATAGACATAAACTGTCAATAATAATGATGATCAATATTTCTTAGTATTTTCCATAATTCTTGTATCTCATTCTTCTTGAACACCTGCTCAAGGTTCAAGAACTTCAAAACCTCTTTTAAATAAGGAGAAAGAAATGGAAACAGTGAATGTAGCTGTTCTCACATAAGCTATACCACTTAATAGACCCCAAGCTCAGTTGTATTTGGACAAACATTTGTTTGTAAGTGATAGGAGATTGAAAGAAATAGTATTGTTGGTTTATGATTTGGTTGATATCATACAAGGAAACGACATGGTCTAAAGTTTTTAAATATTTTGTCCGAAGAAAAATTAGTTGACTTCCCGAGAATTTGGACAGTTAGGCAACGTTCATTTTGCGAAACCAACATTCGTTTAACATAATTGAGGGTGAAAGCTTTTTATTTGGGCGTGTTCATTTTTCAGAACGGATAACAAACAAATCATTAAAACAATACTCAGCAATATACCCGCGGGTAACCCTCCTATTTATTAACTCAAAACGTGAATACTCCGTCAGGTTAATTTCGGATCTTGAGTGAATTTAGTAAAGAGGCAATTCTCTTTGTGGTGGTTGACCTCCTCAAAATTTGAGTTTTTACATTTCATAATATGTACAATCTGAAAATCAAATAAAAAAATCTTCAAATTCGTCCAACCCGACTGGGCCTGTTATGAGAAGGGATATGAAAAAAAAACATTAAATTCGTTTTGGAGTATTTTTTAAACTTATATTTAACAAGAGAGAATGTAGTTGATGTTAAGAGGTCATAACAATAAGAACGAAAATGTTTCGTTTATGCAAATAAGAATCTAAGAAAGTAAAGCAATACAGCCACTCTATTGAATAGGTCAACGGGTTACAGATAATGACCTCTTGATCCAACAGTTTAGACACACAAAAAAAGACACATCGAAGCATGAGTATCTTCCTCCATTGAATTCCTCGTAAACCCAAATGTTATAAGCAAAACCTAATAGAATCACCGCGTCTACGTTTTGGGTTGACATATAGGTTTACTGACGGGTTTAGTGCCGAGTGTTCTTTTAGGGATTCGTTAATCATCCGTTCTGAAAACTTTTCAAGCGCTGAAGCTATGCCTCAATTATATTTAACGAATGTTAGTCTTACATTTAGAAATTGGGTACTTGTCCAAATTCTTAGTAAGTCCATCCGTTGTTCCTGGACTAAATATTTACAAACTTCAGCCGCTGCTCCCTTCTTTGATCTAAGCGGCCACACCTTCGCTGATTGCGTGCATCTATTGTCAGTGAAGTGATTAAATCTATTTACTTAAAGACAAAAATATAAGCTCTATCTGACCAAATAGGAGTTGGTGACAAATTTTATAAAGCTTACTAACGAACGGCGGGTATTATAGTAGCAAGAAATAGAGTATCTTGAGTCTACCCCCTCTCTCAGGCCAAATCGAACTTTGAGAACACCAACAGTCTGATTTGTAAAGACAAATTACTGGTGATAATGTCCTGATAATTAGGAAAAAGAAAATACCGCACTATTATGACATACGATCTCGATGACTTTTACGTATTTTATCCCTCTCCCACCTTGTTTCTAATCACAACTTCTAGGTCTACATCCAGGGATGTCCAGAAGAGGGTTTTATGGCGCAAGTTGTAACATTAAAATTAACGAGGGGCACTTTTTGATGGGTTTTTAAATTTTTGAGAGGGCACACTTCGATGGGGTTATGAATTTTCATAATGAAAAGTTTCAAATTAAAAGACAAGTGGAATCATGAAACAGGTCACAGGATGTATATAATCTATAACAGTAATGGTGTATAATCTAAGAATATTGAAATTCTATTTCTTATAATCTTAACCTTCAATCTAGTGCAATGGTCCAATCTGGTTTGGGCAGTTAGAAATTTATTTCCTGGTAGGTCTAGAGAATGAATCTCCAACTTTTAACTCTTGTTAGAATGGGTTAGTAGAATATTCCTCTTCCTCATAGGACATTAATCAGCAGGGAAGAAAAATCAAAATCATTATATTTACTATCATCATATTTCATCACCCACCTATGAATCTTCTTTATCTTGAGTGCAACCAGTTCCTTTAGTGGTAAATTTATCCTAACAGATGCTATTTGCACAATATAATGTTAACTAGGTTATATAATAGTATGTTGATTAGGCCAACAACTAACTAAATTAAACAAATCCACAATAGTCGATATCACAGAAAACTGGTGAATCTACCTGTCAGTGGAAGTTAAATTAAATTCCTATTGGAGCCTAATCTCATAAGATTACTAAATAAATAATATTGGAGGAAACGATTTTATAATGTTCAAGCAGACATGATAAAAAATAAGATCTGTGTATGTCCATTTAATAATAATTTCTTTGTTGTTTATTAGAGAATCCTCTAGCACTCCTTAAGTGCCTTGAGAACATTATCAGTATTCATGAAGTAAAATATATGATTTAAACCTTTTGATGTGCAAAGCCAATATAATGGCTTTTGGCTGGCTGTAATATCAGTGGGCAATAGTGACATAGTGGCTCCTGAAAGATGCTATGCCTGGGGGGCTGAGACTATATTCTGGCTCCATAGAAAGCTCTTTACTGGGAACCCCATCAGTCATAGATTTTTGCTGAAACCACTAGATAGCATGAGATGTATTATTTAGTCTCAGGTACCCTTTAGCCTGAGGGCTCTGACCTCAGCCTTTCATATACCTGCTACTTTACTTCTACTCCTATTTCACCTGTCTTTAGTCTTTTGAACACAGTTTAGCTCTAAAACTAACATATTATATAGCAGTTGGTAGTGTGCTAAAGGGTGAAAGTTGATGAGTTTTAAATGTTTTAATTTTTTTTTTTGAAAGTATAAATTTTTTTTTTTTTTATTAAGATATTTCTATATCAGATATTGGTTAATAATAAAAAAATCATATGAAGAATAAAAAAATAATTACACTATATGTACAAAAAAAAAAAAAAAAATTAGAATATATCAAAAAAAATGTTCCAGTATAATGTAAGAAAATTAATAAATTCTAAAATTTAAAGAAAGTTTAAAATCTGCAGATTCTCTTTTTGCCTTAATTAGTTTAAGAAATGTTTTCTCATCTTATGTCATTATAGAAACATTCTGTACTCAATGAAGTACACAAATAGAAATAATATATCAGTATTTTTGGTATGGGTTTCTGGGCATTGCTGAATAGCAGTGAACTGGCTGATCAAGCTACAAAAAAAGGCATCATAAAACAGAAAAAGAACACCAAACAGATGTGGCCGAATTTTACCAAAAATAAATCGAGGGAGATTGAAGGTGAAGTTTCCACTTGGACATTGTCAAATCAGAAAAAGCGCAGAGAGGAAGTAATCCCTACGCGTTTGCATATAGGTCACCCATGGATACCTCATGGCCTGTGATTCTTCGCTGACTTGTCAAACTCGTGGGACTCCTTTGACAGTAAAATACATTTTAACAGAAAGCCAAGCTTACAAAACACTCAAACTATCTTGTGACTTGACAAAAAATCTACACACTATTTTACAAAACAATACGGCTGAATTTGACAAACTCTTTTATTTTCTGAAATGTTCAAAGCTTGATGGTTGAAGCCTTCAATTAAAAAAAAAAAAAAACCAAAAACCTGGATTATGTTATTCTTAACACTGTGAATTTTCTATAAACGATTTTTCCAATAAAATAAACTCATCCCCAGATGAAAACAAATTCTTATATTAGATAATAAGATAATTTAGGACAGAGATATACACAAAGATTAAAATTATAAGGTATAACAAAATTGTTTATTTTAATACATTACTTGTGAAGTATGTAGATATATTATTTATTTATCATACAGTTACACAAGTTTTCCTCATGTACTTCTTTCAATTTTCTCTTATCAGCCACACACTAATTACATCTATGTATGGTAGATACAAGTGAAAATACTTATTTACTGTAAAAGCTTCATTTCTATATAAATATAAATTAGAAAAAAAAAAAAGAGGTTGGTATAGTACCATATGACACTGGTTGAGAAGATAAAATATCCTAAATCTAAAGAGAAAAAATATATAGATTAACAACCAACATAAATCAACCAATTTGTACATCATGTTAACTTAGTATTAAAAACAAAAATAATAAGGAAAGATCATTTGGCTTCGTATATATAAATATGAAATGCATACATAAATGCTTCTATGTATTAAAAAATAGGTACTCAAAACATATATTATAAATTGATAGGAGGGATTATTATATTCAAAATTATCAAATACACAAGAGTATGTGCATCATTATTGTATACTGTCTAGAGTATATCTCACTAGCACCTAATTCACAATACAATATCAACATGGCTCTTTCTAAAACGTTCACGTTCAAAACATCAAAAATACAGTGGTTGCAAAATATTATCTCAGATAAGGAGATACATTTTACCAAAATCTTTGTGGCTCAATTATGGCAATTTAAAATAACAATAATAACTATATATAATTAATAAGAATAATTTAGTCAAACACATGATTATTTACATACTCGAAGTAATTAAATATACTGTGACAGATATATATTTATATTTATAATTTAATAAGTCTAATATTTATTTATAACTACGAATGCATAAAAGCATCACTGAAATGAAGAAGTATGTACAAATGGATATAAAGCAAATGATATTGCAGTGTTTTATGGCTTGAGGTATAAAATACAAATATGTGATATAAACCAGACAAAAACTATTTAGAAAATTTAATAATACCAATATTATGGAGTTAATTATTTAAAAATTCTTAACAATGAACACTAACATAATAACAAGTTAAATAAGAAATAGAGAGCTTTATTATTAAAAATGAAAAAAGAACAACACATCAGATATTTTTATGCCACATAGAAACATCAATAAATAAAACACCAATACTCATTACATCAAGTTTTTTTTTTTACTTGGGTATAACTGTGTCAATGGTAATAAATAATATTTTACTTGAACAGTTCAATTGCAAAAGACTTCTATACAAATTTTTTTTAGCACAGTGCCAGTGTAAAAAATTTGCTCAATTTCTAAAAACATCCCAGAATGATCCTTAATGGAACATGGCTCGAATTTTGGAATATTTTCACTAATTATGCGAATTGTGACAATTCTAATTCTCCCAACATGTAGAGACAAGGATGAATCAATTCCCTAATTCAATGCCCGAATGATTTGATTTTATGCTACCATAAAATATTCTTTTATGGGACACAGAACCCTTTTTAATCCAATAAATTAACTTTTTATAAAGTAACAAAAGGGAAACATTTAAAAATACTTAAATGGGAATGGAGATTATTTGGTTCAAATATATAAAAATATATGTATAAAAAATAATTTAAAAGAATGCACAATAATAAAAAAAATAAAATAAAAAATGAAATAAAAGTAATAAATCAGGTTCAAAAAGGTAGTATCAACAGTCAAGGGATTTTTTCATATTCATTCTCAAGCATAAAACTCTCGATTAGAATTTTTTGAATAAGAATTAGAAGTAGGTGAACGCTTAGGTTCATCTAGTGCATAAGAACCTTCATCTTTCTTCCTCATTCTGTATACTATGAACATAACAACAAGTATGGCACAGAGTAAACCAACAACAGCTCCACCTATTACCGCTGTAAAAAAAAGAAACAATAAACATTAGAATTTTTATAAAATATTGATATTTATATTTCAAGAGAGAATATATTTTTTAAAAATTAATAATTGGCTAACCGTTCAACAATTAACTCCATAAAAGAATAAAATGTAATATTGTTTAACATAAACTCTCAAAGTTTTACCGTTAGAATATTTTTTAAATTACTAAGTAAGTAAAAAATCTGTAACTTTGCATCGGTATGAGAGAGAAAAGTCAACAAAAACAATCAGTAGTTGCCTAACATGGTCCTCCGAGGTTTAAGACTTAATGGTGAAGAAATCACATTATCCCCTTGTAAAACCTCCACATGTCAGGGAAGTAATTTTATTAAGAGCTGTAAACCCCTTGTTAATTTTCGAGAAATCATTATATACATTATACATGAATACATTATACTCATTATGTTGCACATAATTTTAAAGAGTAGTGAAGAGGTTTTTGATAAAGTATAATATTGAGTCAGAAGCCTGAAGGAAGTCCTAATTTATCAGTATAATGTGGTAATCTATGTTATGACTAATAAATTAGGTCACCCACAGGACTGATTATAATGTAATATATCAAAAGAAAGATAAGTATATTTCCTCCTTAATTGAAATGATTATTGCTTTTTACTATAAAATATAAAATAAAGTGTTACTGGATAATGAAAGTAGAACTGAATTTTTATCTAACATTGTAAATGAATAATATTTAAAAAAAAACATCATTATAAAAGATATACACAGATAACTTTTAATTTGAATACAAAGATGAATATATGAATTTATGATTTGAAGGTTCTATGCTAGTGCATCAGAAGTTTTTATAGCATTACCTATATATCAATAACTTTAATTAGTTTAAGAAGCTATAATGCCTAAAAATAACAATAAACATATTACAGGTACACACAAAAATACTCTGAAAAGGTTAATATATACGACAAGAAATTACAAAATAATAATATGGCATTACCGGCTAATATGCCAGGTTGAGCAAAGAATGATGTTGCCCTGTCTTCATGATTTGGAGTCATGATGAACACTCCTTCTTTTTCACGGTCTGGAGGTCCAATAGTATTTACACCGTCATCAATGCCAGGATATTTCTCAACGGGTTGTTTTTCTTCAGGTGGAGGATCCCATCCTATTGTCTAAAACAGGAATATAAAAAGTCAAGTTTTCCTCATGCCAATTAGTAATGCAGATGAGAAGTTTAATCTATTGAAAGTGGGATCAAAGTAAAAAAAAAGGAAGCAATAAAATAAGTTTTAAAATATACACTATCTAATATATCAGTGTTTCTCAAACTTTTTTTGCTGCAGCACCCTAGTCGGGCAAAACCAAATTTACAACGCTCAGGTTGATGCAAAAAAAAAAAAATCATAGTACAGCTATCCTTAAACTGATAATATTATGTAATTTTTTGACATTTTTAAAGCAATATATATATATATATATAAAATTTAGCACTGATATTATCATAAATTTAATTGAATTTACTTTTAACTAAGCAATATAAAATTATGAATTTTTAGAATCACTTTTAACCAAATAGACAATGCTGATCTTAAATAATATTATAACTATTAAATATTCAAATCGGGTATCAACAATTATCTGGAGTGATATACTATTCCTTTGTATCTTGAGTCGATACCATTTCTACAAACAACTACTAAAAAATATACTGATAAATTACATCTTTGCCTACACTGATGAATCAGAAGAGATATTAAAATAGTATCAGTATGGAATGAGAATAAATTAAAGAGGCTTGGATAAAAAGCCTTATACCCACCAAATAGTCCGATAAGATTTTTGAGTTAATATCTGTTTATAGGAAGTTATTATTCATAATTATCTGTTTTTAATTTTTTTCAGCACTAAGATACATATATATATATATATATATATAATGGGTTGAAAATTGGAAATAGTACAGGAAAAGATACTTATTTTGAATTGTTTTTGTTTTTTTGATTTGATTACAGTTATGTTTTAAATTACCTTAAGTTACTTGGACCTAACTACCTGACAGGAAAAATGAACAGGCGATAAAGTGATTCAGGACCTAATACTAGTGCTGCTAAATGTTTTCAAGATAGTGAATAATTTTGTCGAGATTATATCAATATTTATTAGAGATCAAGCTGCATTTAAGAAAAAAAAAAAAAAAAAAAAAAAATGAAGGGTCTCAGTAACCCTAATTTATGGTACCCTTAATGATAAAACTGACTTTTGAAGAAATACGATCAAATAAAACTCACATCAAAGTAACAATCAAGAAGTAGTTTCTTCTTTAAATAAAATATTTTAACTTTTATTTTATATGATATTTTTGTATAACTACATAAACAAATCAAGCACATAAATATAATATTTACCTTATGAGTTGAACCTTCACCGCCGGATTTAGGATTTGCAGCAACCTCTGTGTTTTCTGAACAAATGAAAGATAAAAATATAGAAATGAAAAACCATCTTTAAACACAACATTAAATAATTAACCTCAAATAATACTAATTAAGGTACCAGTGAAAGCTATTATTATGCTAAAAATAAATTAAGCAACAAAACAAAGTAATTTAACATTGACATGTTATTTAAAAATAGATCAACGTAAAATTTAATGTAGCGCTAAACTAAATTTATTGCTAATTTTCACACATCACTAAGGGGAAAATATGTTACAATAGGTAATTATTTTTAATTATTGAGATAGCCTCCTGTTATGCTAAGCCCGTGAATTGATTTATAAAATTACACTTCAAAACAATACAAGAACTGATGCAACTTGTAATGTATACAACATATTAGCTCCATGAACTGTAGATCAATTAAAATAACAATAAATTTGTTTATAAAACTTTTTGGCAGCTATTCCTTTCCTTGATGAGGATTATATCACTTTCCTTTTTTTAATACTTTGTGATAATATTGCTGTAGCAATCATTATAAGATTAGTTTAAGTATGAACAATAAAAACGGAATTAGTTAATAAGATCAAACAAAGAAGGCAAATAAGTAATAAAAAGAATAAAATAGTATAATATAAAAACTAAAATATTTTTTCTTAACTCTGAAGAGAGGATATATACATTGTTTTCTAATTTCTTTCATAAATATCTAGTATATCTACTTACAGGTCTTTCCTGACCATTATACTTGAAATTAGTTAAATGACTTAATATTAATAAATGTAATCCAGGATCAATATAATTCCTTCTATAAAAATTATAATGTATTACAAAATATTTAACTATTTAAATTCAATTATAGGAATGTAATTTGTAAAGACGACACTCATTTGAAGTGTTAAAAATTCATGCAAATACAAATCATTAAAAGGTAATTAATATTCATAAATTGTTAGATGTTTTATTTTAAAATGAAAGGAAAAGATTTTTAAATAATTAAAGTACATGTTTCAATTTTATTGAAAAAGTTATCAGTATTAAAATGGCTAAAATACTTTAGCAGTGAATAATTAAAAAGTTATATTTATTTTGAAATTAAAAATGTAAATGTAAAATGTATATTCTGATGGCGATGAATGAACAGGGTTAGTGAACTTAATTTAATAAGAAAGATTACACACAAGTATCAAATTATAAATCATCATTTACAAAAATTAACAAGTTTTCAAACAGAAAGGTATTAGTAACGAGTTTTATTTACACAGCCTTCTATATTTATAAAGTAAACAGCAAATGTTTGAACTGATCCCTTGCGAGTTGGAAGCTTCCATATTTGCATTCAGGAAAACAACTACTGATTATTAATGAAGACACTTCCCTCATGCCTCAACCATACAAGCTCATGCCGTGAGTACTCTCTCGAATGTTAATTTTATAACTGAATTGTGAATCAAATATCACTCCTCTTACCAGTTCAACCTTGCTCACAATGAAAAAAGTCTTATGTCAGTATATAATTACGAGAGCCGAGAGAAAAAATTACAAGAGCCTAATTGAATATGATTTATAAAATATCAATAATAATATAGAATTTTTTTTAAAGCATGCTGTTTTTTTGTTGTAAATAACCTTCATTTCCCATTTACTAAGCTAGAATTTTAATTAATTGACTAAGGCATTAAAAAAAGAAAGAAATGAAATTAGCTTATTAGTTAGTTAAGAAAGTTAAATATAACAGTAATGTTATATAACATATTTACAAAGGACTGGTCATTGACCTAACCAAAATCATTCTTCATGATGAGAATACTAAATTAGGCACAATTAAATATAAAAATCAACAAATGTCTAAATTAAGTAATCATGCCTGTGTCTTCATCATCAATAGATACATAAGAAGTATTTGTGAGTATATTATTTTTTATCAAATACAAAATTATTCAAAAATAAAATGACCCAATATCAAAATTGGATGATCCAAAACCAACTACCAGCATACATTATCTACTAGTACAGTTATGACCTAATCTATTAGTTATACAAATGATGGAAAAAAATATTTATATTACAATTTCTTTGAGATTCAAGGGAATGAGAAAATTTATTCCTCCACTCAGCCTTAAAGGATTAGCCGAGACCTTTGAAGCTATACTTGAGGACTTTACAACGCTTGAGCATGGTGTATCTAAACTGAGAAGTCAATAAAGCTCCTTTGATCCAAGGTGGAACACCATAGGCTTTAGGAGGTAATGTTGGTGAACAGTTGGACTCTGGACACCAAGCTATATTCATATAGCCTTCTTATTAAATTCCAGGCTCTATTATCATCTTTTGCTTAAGGAAAATTAGTCCCAATATATTAGATTAGATTATAGATCATTCAACCGAGAATAGCATAAGCATCAGGCATCTAGAGGCTGAAAACAACTGAAAGATCTGTACTAATGACGCCCGAGAGTTCAAAGGATGGCATACCTTGGCACGAAAAGGAGAATTATAACATGTTAGATAGGGGAAAAAATGCTCTAACAAATTACATGTAAATGAGTTAGTGGTGGCCAAGTAGATTAGAGTATTGCCTGTTTTGATATTCTCGAGTTTAGCGACACAGGTTCAAATTCGGCTAGGATGGGTTGAAATTAATTTTAAGGATGACACATTGACACATGAAATTAATCTCAACCTTCCCACCCTGATTAGAATAGGTTTGATAATACTTACAGTATAATACCTCTCTTCTTCCCTCTCTCAGAAATGGAGAGGCTAGGTTTATTAGGAAAAAATGAAATAAATAATTGAACTCGGAGTAAATTACACCTGGATTTACAAAATCATGAAAGTAACAAGGGCATTCAAAAATCCAGAATGAGCTTTCAAAATTTGATTTTGAAAATAACTTAAGCTTGAAATTTGGCAGGTCCCAGAAATAACCAAACATTTTTAGATCAACAGTCAAGATATTATATTTTTCAAAGGATTTTCCAAGCTATACTCATCTCGTTTGAACTCTTGAATTTAAAAAATTTGGTGTGCGCATCACATGACTTTCACTTACCACCATCTTAATAGAAATAAGTATTTTCAGAAAAAGAGGAAGTGAAAGTAAAAATTATCGATGCTATATTTATTCACAATTCATTGTGGATATTTTTATTTTAATAAGTACCCTTACATGTGCAAATTTTGATTTTTATATCGCTGTATTCTATATAATTAAAAATTAAATAATACCAACCGCATATGTATATGTGCACAACATTGTCTGAGTCCGTATTATATTAAGCTCATGTGACGTATGCCTGTTGCAATTTTCGGGCAAGCTTGTATTCCTTTGGTTCCTCCATTACAACAATTATCCGTTACGATTTCTTAATTCTCCTTTAGTTAATTATCAAATTCTTTCATATTTTACATTCAACTATTTTTTATATTAAATATTAATGTGACATGTTTAATTATTTCAAATTAAAGGTACTTAAGAGGAAGCTAATATTGAAAATTAGCCATTTACACCCTGTTAGAGAACATCAATGTGAATAAAACCTATATTATATTAAAAATTGCTTAATGATACACTAATATACTGAGCCTAATCAAAATCGTTAGAGCCGTTTTCGAGAAAATCATAAAAACGTTTTAAATCGGTTATATAAAGTACCACTTCTGGTTAGCTGATTTTGACAAAAATGTTTCTGTAATATCCAAGTCTTATAAACACCTCAAATACGCAATTTTTTAAGTTTCATACGACTTTTCATTTTGGGCTAAGCTGTTTAGGTACATACGCACACACGCAGATCATTTTGGGAACTTGGTTATTTGGATTCAGGAGACCTCAAAACATGTATTTCCGTTGAAAACTCATATTCAAAAATTTTTACAATCACAATACTTACCCTTATAACATATAACATTTTTAGGTAGTAGAAATTAAAAATACCACCAGAACTGCCAAAATGCTCACAATATAAATAATACAGGAGATGAAAATTATTCCACCAAAAAGTTGCAATTTTATACTTACTAATTTATTTTCTAAGACAATAGTTATATAAATAAATTGTATCAAGAACATTTTTTTTTAAATACCGTACCTTGGATTTTTGTTGCGAACTTAAAATTATTATAAAAGTTATCAATAAAGCTTATAAAACACGATTTTGTAAAAATGTCTGTTAGTTTCTTACAGCATATTCAGTTCTATTACAGAAAGTAATTACAGGAGGAATAGTGACAATTAAAAAGAATAAGCAAGAAATGAAAAGAACAAACATATATGTATAGATAATAGATTTGTTTCTGCTATCAAGTGGGAAAAAAAATTCACTAACCAGGCAAGCCATCGCCATCTTCATCATCGGGTCCAAAACCAGAGCCACTCGCTTCTAAATCATCTTTCACCTCCCGAGCTCCATTGCCAGAGCCCTCGGCCTCAGAGTCAGCATCATCAATATAGATGTCTTCCGCAGCCTTGCTTGTGTTAGAACTGGCCTTTGACTGAACGATATATTTGTTGTATGATATTGTATCATTAAAAAATAAACAGAAAAAAATATATCAGATGCAGCAGATTACTTTACAGTAACTTTGAAACTAATTATAAAAAAGTCATTGTTCTAGCCAGGGGATAGGGTTCCCAAAATTTTACAGGTGAGGCCCAAAATTAAAACCAAAAGTTTTCTTAACCTACCAGTACAGAAGAGAACAAACTGAAAAAAGGATTAAGAAAATTAAATTAATAGATTAATTAAAACACGATACATATTCCTAGAAAAAAGTATACCAGGTATTAAAGTATACCTACATTTTCAAAATACAATCAATGGAATTCCTAAGAAAATAATGGATAGTTACAAAAAGTGAATTTGTTAAATAATATATTTAATTATTCATCCTAATTTATTTAAATAATTGAAAAAAAAAATATAGAGCAAATGATGACTGACCGAGTACAATCATTTAAGGTAATTTCAGTAAAAATTAATTAAACACACATTTGAGTTTCTTTATTGATGATTTCTTCATTGATCTTTTGAAAAACAATGATTGAACGAACCCTTAAGCTGCCTATACAGCATATGCCCCGAATGAGCATGCATTTGTTCCGCTTTGCTCAGATGAGTACAGGGTGAACTAAATGGATCCACATGCCACAGCGTGATCCTAGAGTAGTCAGCAAATTAAAGTGAGCACGTATCCGGTCTGTACTCACTGTGTACGGGGGACAATATGAGCCTACTACTCATTCTGGCAGTTCATAAACCTCTGGTTGGCACTTACCTATCTCAAGCTGCTGAGGCAAATTATTATTTTGCTTTCCTTCATGTTCAAATAAAATTTCTTCCTTCTGGCACTATAATTCAGTGGTGAGTCTGGACCTCCCATCAAATAAAATTGTCTCAATATAATAATTCCCTTAGTCTTCTAGAGTAACTCCAAAAATGAGTTTTATTATAATAATTAAAAAATAAAGGAAGATGCTCGGAGCTAAATTTCTGACCTCGTACAAAAGATTTTTAAAAAATGAGTGCTTTAAGAAAATAGCACCATTCTAGGCACACTTGATATTGTAGACACAAGACAGGCAAGAACCAATGAACTGCCTGTACTACACAGCACAGATTGGGTTTCCTGTTCGGTCCATATAAGCACAGACCAGATTGAGTAATGATCATTCGAGAAATGATCATTGCTCATTCGAGAAATGATCATTGCTCATTCGAGACGTGATCATGCACCCCCTCCACTCGGGGGGGCCGACTGCTCTAGTGTATAAGTGGCTTTAACTAATGACACCAAACAATTATACCGTTAAATATTTATAACACTTCTGGAATGAATATAAATTCATTTAGTCATTACATTTTTGTAAAAGAAGATAAGAGCTAAGAAAATTCCTGGAAATTCAACTATGCAAGTGAAAGTCTTATATTAGAAATTTTCTCTAGCTCTCTTTTTTTTTTTTATTTTCACAACAAAATGTTCCTTATTTTCTTTCTTCAGATATTTTTATTTTCTAGTTCAGCTAAACATTTGACACACATTATGGGAACAACTGTTCTTGCAAATCCTATAATAAGAAAAAGAAAAAAATTCAAATATTAATACAAAATTAATACAGAATTAATTAACAGAGCAAATATATTTTGTACTAAAATTCATGAAAGGTTTAAATAGATACTGAATCAGAATTTAGAATAGAAAATAATAAACTTAATTCTGGGACAAGATGACTTAAGAATAAAAATTATGAACAAAAAATAAACACCATATCTGGCCAAAAATTACATTAATCAAAACTAAAGAATATTTACAATGTCTTCAGTGAAAATCCAATTATTGAGTTTCTGTGAAAGTTTTTAAACTAACAAAATATTGAAAATAATTTTATTCATTTAAGCCACTTTATCTCAAATTAAAAGTTTACTTCTTAAACTTCAATAACTATTAAATTTGATGAGGGCTGCTAAACAATCGAAGATAATGAAAGAGCAGATACTTCTGTGAAATAAGTAAAACGCACTAGCATAAGTGAAGTCGCTATGTCTGATATTAAAGCAGATATGAGAAATTATTCAATAGTTAAATTTTTGAGAAAGAACTATAACCCATCAACATTTACTAGTTCCAGCCAATAAAATATCAATAATTAACTGATCCTTTTTCCATACTTAAAAAAAAAAAACCAAATTAAAATTAAAACATATTTCATAAAAAAAAGTTGGTTGGGGGATAGAGCCATAGATGAGATAAAAACCAAATAATCCTTATTTTACTGTTTGCTAATTTTTCAGTCTTAAGTTTTAGAGCTCAAACAGGGCGGCTAGAGTAAGATATTAATACAAAATCAACTTCTCCGACAATTTATTTAACAATCAACAATATCTTCACCACATTTTATTATCTTAATTTAAAAAAATAAATTATTTATGTGGTATTGCAGATAAAAATTATGAACAAAGATTTTCCATTTTTTAACTTTTCTATTGTAATTCCTAAAACGTGACTTTTAGATCTTCCATTTCAAAATGTTACTCCATCCTTAAGATCAATAACAATACTTTCAATCAGTAACATTTAAAAAGTCTCTACAAAATTTAATTATTTAACACACTTCTGGGTTCAATGATGAAAATGTTAGTAATATAGGTATCAGGGACTATTGAACAATAAATTTCATTTAATTTTTAATAATACAAATGGTCAATTTTTTATTAAAACTTAATCAATTTTTTTTTTAATACTACAAACATATAAATTATTTTAATAATGAAAATAGCAGTCGCTACAATTTCGTTTTAATGAAGTTTAATTAAGTCATGACTATAAAAACACCACAAATCAAGTACTTGCTCTTTTGAATACTGAAAGTAGGCCACAAAAAGATCCAGGGTCATTGAATAGACAGAGAAAAAAATTTAATAATAAGCACAAAGCATTCATATTATATCAATAAATATTGCAAGATAAATGATTAAGCATGGAAAAGTAAAACTTTATACCAATGCAATTTACTTTATAATAACTCAAGTATATGATAATAATAGTATATATACAAGGGTCCTAAAAACAATAATTCATTATGAAACATAATTTGATATATTTGTTCATTAAATGTATTAATGCAATCAGAATAATAGGTAATTTTTTCCATCATATTTTGATGGGATCAATAAATCTGAGGTAACTAATGAACCAAAAACGAAATACTTTACTTCTTTAAGGTTTACTGACATAGTAATGATTAAAATATTTTTAAAAAAACAACTAATTCAATCAGTTAATTACTTTTGGCATTACTTATCATATCTAAAGATAATAGGAATTCAATGTTGTCTATCACAAGATCAAAATAACTAAGGGATATAAAATAATATAATAAAATTTAAATGCATTCGAATCTAAGAAATGACTAATAGACTATACTATTTATAAATAAATTACACTTAAAATTCTAACGGGAAATATTTGGTAAAGAAAAAGTAAATTGATAACATAAAGGACTGGTGCTAATCATGATCCCATGAAGAATATATCTAGATTAGTAAATGGAAAATGAAAATCAACGTGTTGACATGATCAGTAAAGAATTAAAAATATAAACAAGAACTAAAACGAGTAATAATTAATTAAACCCTAATTGATGTTAATAATCAAACACAAAACATCAATCAAATTATAAACATACAATTGAGATACACTGGGTTATAATATAAAAAAATAAATAAAAACTGAATGAGTGACAAGAATGGGCTTAAGAACAGATTTGTGTTTAACCAATGGAATTTATAATAAAACAATAACAATTATCATTTTAAAACCACATCATTTATTACAATGATTTAAAATTAGAGATGTGTACATGACCCTAAAAAAATAGGAGTATAAATACAAATTGGCATTGTAAATGAAATATGTAATGATACTATTTACAAACTTAAATCAAATGATATATTTAATATATTTACAAGTCTTAATAATGTTTCATAAACAAGATTCAAAACAACAGCGATAATTCAGTTGAATCACTCAATACAGGAATTATTAATACTTCATGAACCTAAAGGAAATCATTTTATGATGTATAAACACTATCAAATGTCCCTTACATGCCAAAAAACAATAATGAAGGGATAAAACAGAAGATCTTGACATTTATGAAGGGTAAATATAGCTTTTAACACACAGGTGTGGTGCATATATAAAAATAGGAACACACTTCAAACTGTCACAAAAAGAAATCAAACAACAGCAATCGTGAAGAGATCAGAGATAAACAAATTTACGTTTATTATATAACATTAATAAAAAGGTGTAGGTTACATTATACAAATAATACTTACGACTTCTGCGAAAGATTCCCTGATCCCCACAGATATTAAAGCACTGAATATTAAAATATATAACCTTAAATACATCACCAAACTGAACACAGTACCGAAGTACCTAAATTTAAATCAATAACAAAAAATTTTAAAAAATAATCTAAAAAACACATAAACCTAACACACCTCTAAACATTGATCAATGAAATAACTAATATCAATGGTGGCCTATGGCAAGAACTACTTTATCCGCGCCGCATCACTTTTCCTATTGTATTATTACGCAGCTGGTGGTTCCACGATTTCCTAAAACAAAGATTTCTTCTTTCATAAAAATGTTTTTAATTGGTTAAATTATGTTTTTATTATTTCTACAATTTCTAAAATCAAAGTATATAACCAAACCATAAATGACATCGCATCCTAAATGTTGGTAACATTTGTTTCGTTGAGCGCACGAAAAAATACTTTTTAAATGACAAGTACTATAAAATTGGAGGCATGTTATTATTTTACTGTATTTAAACATTATTAAAACGCGCACATCATCCTCGCATATCCAAATTATTGAGTTTTTTGTTGATTATTATCAATATAACCATTGTTACTTATTAATAAGAATAAAAAAACAACATATTCCTTATTAGTTTAAAGAGTAGAAAAATTGGCAAAATAAAAAGAATTAAACTGAATATAGGTCATCTCAACCCATGTAATTGACTCGGCGATATTAGAGAGAGTTACCCTATCTAGGATATCCGATATCAGTTATTCATGATCTTCAAGGATTGCCGATGTGAGATATACTATACGAAAAAGGGAAGGTCGCCATTCAAACATCTCAACAAGGAAGGGTGCAGGGATAACCAACTAGCTTAATTATATAGACCTATTTGTCTACTCCCTGTGATGTGGAATTTTTTATAATCCTTCTTATAAAGGTAACACATCTCCGGCAATACGCTGTTGACCCAGAGGTTAAAATAAATGAAGGAGCAGTTTGCCATTTGGTACTCTATGAAATGCCCTGTGCTAATGACAGTGTCTCATAGCTATTAATGAATAGCAGTTGGCATATTAAGAAGAACTTAGCAACTTATACGCCCTAATAAGTAGCTTTACGACAGGTTTGTGAAGATACGAGGTGTTCCTTTGAGTTAGCTTAGAGAAGAGATGCTTTCATGGATCAGTCCTTGGAAGCTCGATGAGTTCTTGGGAGTGTTCAAACAGGAACCATTAAGAACTTATAGCTGGTGGTGACAACAGCCTAGTCGTCTTGGGACTTGGGGCTTGGGAGCATTAAAAATAAATATTCGTACTTGTCTGATAGCCGGTCGGGACCGACTGCTCTCTACCAATGTTTATAACTTGAACACTGATAATTCTGATAAGGCACTGATAATTCTTATATTCGTAATTCATATGTTTTGTATTATATTCATATTATTGAAATTGTAAACAAAAACAAATGTAATAGTAAAAAAATACTTATTATTAATATTAAATAGACGAAAATAAATGTAATAATAATAATAAAACAGTTTGATTTGAAATTGAAATAGACAAAAAGAAATCTAATAATTCCCGTAACAATAAGAAAACATTTTAATTATACAACACATATATAAAATAGACAAAAATAGATGCAATAATAAAAACACTTAAACAGCATATGTACATATAAATATTTATACTGTGAGTCATCATGTACCGGAGTGTGTTTCACGAGGCGGTGAAAATTTTAGCAGCATATGATTAAAAGGGAAACTAAGTAGGCCCATCAGATAAAACTTGCGAGAGGAGTCTTCCTATTCTTGGGAACCTCAGGAAAAAAGGAATATTTTCCCTCTCCTAGCTGTTCATTTCGAGCATAATGAGGAGGGAAGGATTTGCAGGAGGATCTTGCAGGTAACCAGCCTATTCTTGCCGAGGTGAAAAGATCGAGATTCATTCACTGGGTCGATCCCAAAATTCATCCCACTGAAAAAGATCGTAAGCGATAACATTGAAGTATGGGGGCGGCGGTGGGTGTCAACCCTAAAATCGTTATTTCAAGGAAAATATGTTCCCACCGTACGGTTGCAATCGAAAGCAAAATGAGTTTTCCCGGACCACTGAATCTTGCTATTCCATATAGAATATGGAGATTTCCCAATTAAACTGCATGGCCTTTAAAAGGAGGTAGATTTTCTAAGCGCCAGATGTTGAGTTTTAGAGATAGATGAGCATTTAATTGTGAACTACGCTTAACTTTGAGACACTGAGAGCCGAATGGCTAAGGATTGCATCAGAGTAAAAACGGACTCCTGCGTGTTCTCAGAGAACGATTTCCCTCGCTTAAGACCGGAGCTCAAACCTCAAGGCTGAAAAAAACTACATGTACCTAATATATTTTGTGAACGAGTTGAAAAATTGCAGATGTTTCTGACAGTGGAAGAAGTGGGTCAACCGAAAAATAGTGGAGACTAAGAAAAAGATTTAGTTTACCTGGTGACGAAGGTGTGATTTAAATTCTGTGAAGATGTAAACCAATCTAAACAAAGATAGAAGTTTTGTAAGGTTTTCATGGCTAAATAAGTACGTTCTGTAATGTTGAACACAACCATATTGCCGGAATGTAACGCTGTACTAAATAAACCCCTCAGACAGAGTAACTCTCCACTTTTGCTGTGTATGATGCTCTATCTATCTCATTTTGACATCTTTGGTTGTTAATGTGTAGGTTATTTTATGGTTAAAGCGATCGGTTTTATGAATGTGACATTTAAATGGGTCCAAACATTGGAAAAATGATTCCATTGAATTTAAAACTAAAATCCATATTCCGAATCGGATCCTGTTGTTAATGTAAAATGTTATAAGGTTGATAACATTTAATTATAAGCTAATGATATTTTATGTATATATTTTTAAGTATAATTTTTTCATGTTAATTCCTTTTGTAGTTTTACAAATGAGATCAGCAGTAAGTGTTATTTTGTCAAGTCCCTTGCCAGACCCAAATATGTCACACCCAGATTATGAACAGTCCTATCATCATCATTCTGCCTTGCTAATTCTTGTCAAACATTTGGGTATGTTAGTTGTTTTGAATATTATTTTCTTTTTCTTTTTTTTGAATGATAACTGATACCTATCATTTTTCTAGGTGAGGAGCTTCCTCAAAAGAATTTTTTAAAGTTGTTTGATCGGATAAATAAAATAAACAACATAAAAATTGTTGATAGCCTTGGTGTAAATAGGAATATATGGGCGAGATATATTAAAGATTACCCTGTTGGCAATAATGACTGGGGAGATTTTCAAACTCACCGAAGACTTTTGGGTCTTATAACAATAGGTGATTGATACCAGAACTATATTTATGATAAAATAAAATGTTTTTAACTTATTATCACAGTTGTAACATGCACGGGTTTTTTAGCTTAGATCATTTCCTTTATTTTTAAAATATTGTTGATTTTTTTTTTTATATGATAAATGTTCGGGGATAAAAGAAAAATTGGCACACATTTATTTGTATTACATAAATTTACTTTAATTAATAATTTGTAATTTAATTATGTAATATTGTAACTCTGTTATCATCTCATCATATATGTATTTATGTATCCTGTTAGGAAAATGTAAGACTCAAATTGAACTGAATGAAATATGCCGTATTCATGAAAGTCTCAAAGTTAAATACACAACTACACTTTATGATTCAAGATGTATTATTCTTGGAATAAATGATGGTCCTAACACTCCTACTTTTGTTCCTCCATCATTTTTTAAAAGCAGAGGTTTATTTTATGCAACTGATGGAGAAGAAAGTGCTAATTTAGAAGATACTATTTCCGAATTTCTTTCATCCATATTCTGGGTATTAGAATCAAAAAGGCATGAAAGAAGTCGTGAAAAGGTATGTTTCTATTTTGTATTATCATTTAGGTCATAAGTAATGTACTAGTTTCTCTAATTTTAAGTTTTTACTTCCTAATATTCTTGCTGATTATTGTTATTTATAATATTTTTCATGCTAAGTAGTGAATACTAGACAGTATAGCCCTATTTGTTTTATAGTAAATGTAGTCACTTTATTCTACTTTTTAAAAGTAAAATGGTCCTGATTTTGGACTATAAAATCAGCAGAAAGGTTGAGAGGGATTACTTTTCTGAATCTTAATGAATAACTTTCTAAATGATAGAAAAGTTAATATATATAAAGTAGACAAAGACTTAAAAATCTAATAAGCTGTAATTTATTTGAAGAAAAAAAAAAAATAAAGACCTTGTGACAATTACTATTTATTTTTACTATAATATTCTAAACTATGTATATACATCTGCTTCTCTCTAAATGCAGAATTAATTTGTTAGAATGGAGACCGATCTGAAAAACTCAGAAAAGTCATGGAATATCAATAAGTCAGGGAACTTTTTTAGTACATAAATATTTTTTGAAATTGAAAATAAATATATAGTGGATATCGTTTATAACAACCTTCAAGGTAAAGTTTGTTATAGCCGATGGTCATTATAAACTTCTAATGGTTTTTAATGAACACGGGCGCTATATCTATCCACCTGTGGACTATCAAGAATATTTTTATACTCAAATCAGTAGTAACTTTTTTTTTGTAGTAACTTTATTTTATTTTTTTGTTTTAATAAATACATTTAGTTATAAATATTTTTAATATTGTGTCACCAGACATATTAGTCATGAAAAACTGTCATTAAATAGGGGTAAGTCAGAGAATTTTACTGTAACATTCTGGTAGCCACACTGTTTCTATTTTCCCCCTCTATAGCCCTATGGTACTTTAAGATCATGGGTCTACTTTACCATAGTTTTATAATGTTTTGCCATTCCACTCTGTCTACGGTTTGTCTCCTCCTTCTTTTCAACTCTGAAGTTTTGATTATTTTCTCAATGCCAACTTTGTTAAATTTATAATAATAAAAAAGTTAATTAGAAATTAAATTTTATTCATACTAATATTTTGTTTACTTATGGTAAAACGCATACAAATTTTCTTTATTCTGGATTGGTGCTGTTTTAGTGTTGTACCGTCTAAGTGGGTATCTGCCTTATTATACTTAAAAAATATGAACAAAAATGTTTCCCTTTATTTAATGGATTTTTTCAATGTTGTTTTTTAGTATATCTTCTCATTATTTTCATGATTTATTATTTGAAATCTTCATTTACAGATTGAACGAGTTTCCTTACTTTTGGCTCCTTTTGAAAAAAAGGATTTTGTCGGCCTTGATATGGAATCCAGAAGCAATCGCAAAAGAAGTTTGGGTCGCATGACTAAACATTTAGGTGATCTATGCCTTCAAGCAGGCCTACACTGTGATGCTCTTAACCATTATCATTCAGCTGTGGAAATATTAAGATCAATTAATGACTGGTTATGGCTTGGAAGTAAATTAACATTATTAATTATTCTATTATTTTTTACTCTTTTGTATGACTTTTCTGTCATAATTATTGTCTTAATTTGATAAGAGCTTTGATAATGTAAAAGTATTTATAATGCTCTGGTCAGTAAGAATATCTTGAGGCTTTTCTTTTTAGCCATTCCTTGTTCATTTGTTTAATCGTTTTTGAGGTATGTCGCAAAGCACATTCACTTGACTGTTATTTGCTAACATTTGTTTTTGTTTAGACTGAGCATTCAACTCTTTTCATTTTACATTTGTCTACATTGTATTTTGTCACTTTATAAAAATAAGATTGTTTAATTAAATTGTAAATGAGTCATACAACAAACTTTTTTTCTTCCCTATCTATACTAGTTAAGGAAAATATTGTGATCTGGTCAAATATCTTTAGATTAAGGTACTTAATATTATTGTGTAAAAGGCTTTTCTTTGAAAAAGTTTCTCCCTAACCTATAAATTATTTTGTTGAGATCTCGGAATACCCTTTTTTCTGCTTGAATAATGCAATATTTTATCATTGAACACCAATATTTTTGGATTGAATTAAATTCATTTATATACAGAGCTGTATATAAATGTATATATATATATATATATATATATATATATATATATATATATATATATATATATATATATATATATAATCTTTTTCACTTATATGGTTATTTAAAGAAAAAACAATTTACAATAAACTTTTTTGTAGACTAATCAGAGACTCAGGCTTGATCTATAATCACTTTTTATCGAATTTAAGATAAGATATGTTGTATTATTAAAAATAAGTTGTTGGTAATCTTTTCAGGTGCATGTGAAGGATTGGGTGCTGCAACAATGTGTGTTCGTTACCCTAATGCCGGGAAATCACTGTCAGTTCAGAGGAATTCATCACTTCAAGAGGGTTCTCATATGAAAACAAGGTTAATATTTTGATTGTTTCATTATTTATATTTTGAAAATATAATTTAAAATATTGAATTAAATTTTGATTACAGAAATACTTCTACTAAGAATACACTTGGAATGGAAATATTAGAACCATCTTCGTTACCCGCTCTTCCACCACCAACCAATGTATTATCTAATGAAGAGATTTTGAAAGCTTATAGGGAATCAATTGTTCATTATAGCAAGGTGAGGAAACATAGATTTAATTTATATTATTTATTAATATTTAACCTTATTTTTATAATTCTTGTTTATAGTATCAGAATGCTGGTGTGATAGAAACAGAAGCAAGTTTTAAAGCAGCGAGGATAGCTGTGGAATTGAACATGATATTACATGCTGCGAATTTCCTTCAAAATATTGTGTTCATTAATCTCGTCATTCCAGAAGAGCAAAAGGTATTGTAAAAGTTTTTAAAAACAATTATTTTATTTTTTTCTAATTAGGTTTATAAAATAAACAAAAAAAAAATCTTATATTTCTGCAACCTGTGAAGGATTTTTTTTTTTTTTTTTTGGTTTCAGTACTTTGTTAAGGAGTATTTCTTATAAAATTAAAAAATAAAATAAAAAAACAGCACCTACCTACCTAAAAATGTATATACTTGATTGGTATAATATAATATACTTGATTAGTATGATTAAATTATAGTGAATAGTTAAATAATACGAGTCAGTATTATTGAAAAATCTACATTGAAGTCACTATAAAAAATATTCCCTATTCCATCCTTGGAAAACAAAGTTTTTTATTTAGCTTATTTTTTTGTCTTCACTGGTTTCTATAATTGTTTATTTATGCCAGGGTTCTTAAATGATTTTCAATGTTTTCACTTTATTCATTTTAATTTACTAGTTTATGAATCTGGATATTGCATCATTTAAACAATACTGTTGGTGCATACGAAATGAAAGTATTGTAGGTTAGCTAGACTTGTGCAGAGATAAGCAAATGGTACTCTGAGTACTGAGTACCAAAGAATTTAATTACTACTTTAGTTGAAGACAAATGATTAACTGAAGTAGTGATTGAAATCCCAATAGTGGTTCAATTTGAGTAAAATACTTGGTGCTCGGTACTAGAGTCGCATTTGCCCTTTTCTGGATTTGTGGATCAGTTAGATGCATTACATTGTATATTGTAAGGAAATATTGATAAAGATTTTAAAGATATTTTTTAAATTATAAGATGCTTCTTTTGGTATTAGATAAAGAAACAGATGCATGATTCTTACCTTGTCTTGGAGTTTTCTAGCTATGTGTATCCTCCATTAATCTTATTAATGAATGGTGGTCATCTTATAATTTTATGGGTTTTTTTTCTATAACTTTTAATAAAGGATTTTAATTAAAACTTTAATGAAGTTATACTTTACAATGAAAACTAAGGTTGCTGGATATCCTTTAGCTTTTCATTTATTTTCTGACAATTATTGTGATATAGTAAGCTGTGAAAAAAAAATGTTAGTTTCCTGTAATAGTGGAAAATCTATTCAAATTTTTATACCTTATGAGTGATAAGTAGTAAATTACTTAATTGTAGCAACTTATCTTTGAGGTTGCTGAGTCAAATAATCGAGGTTTATGTTAACCATCATTACAACCTTAACCAATCTCGTCCAATTTGATGGTTAAAGTTAGTAGTTATTTTAAACAATTAAATAACAATTCCAATTTTTTATATTAAAGAGAAGTATATCTTATATTTTTATTGATGTTACTTCTGACCCAAATAGGAGGTAAATCTGGTAAATAGAGATAGCATTTATGACTGTTAATATCAATCCACATCTTATATATAGTCATAAATATATATATATATATATATATATATATATATATATATATATATATATATATATATATAATCATAAATGGTCCATGTATGATAAGCTATATATTTGCACAGTTTTCTCAAAGGTGGTTACCGTTGATGCCTTCCTTATAACTGATACGTTATTTTTTTTATTTATTTTGGGTCCTCCCCTTCCTTGCATTTAAGGCTGTTCAGGGTTTTCCCGGGCCAGTGGATGTGGGCGAGGATTTAAAAGACCGGGACGCGAATTCATGACTATTTTAAATCCAGTGTCTCATATATCAGGTTGCTGGGCGCTGTGCACATACGTTAGCCCATTCAGCCACCCGCCCACACTGATACATCATCTTTAATACCTCATCGAATCCAATGATTGAGCTTTCGTTTTGAAGATTATTTTTTTTGCCATTGCCGAAAAAATGAGCATTTCCCTCCCAAAAAATGAAAAAAATAAAAATATGCTTTTCCAAAACTTAAAAAGTAAACAATTGATGGTTGGTTATCCTCATGATATATAGACAGGTTTCTAAGTTTCTTATGAAATTTAAAAAAAATTGATCGATTTTTGACCAGCAAAGATGCAGGAAGCATTTTGAAATGATTTTGTTCATTATTTTAAATTATGAACCATTGTAAATAAGTTAAAAAAAAAAAATAATTCCTGCTTATAATATATTACATTTGCTTATTTACATGTAGGAATGTGGGAGTAGCTCAGTGAATAAAGCACTGTGCTCCTATGCCCAAGAATGGAACCTAGGGTAAGGAGACTCTTAGCAAACCAAGCCTGTACAAAGTGGGAACTTCTAATTAAATAATTAATCAAGGGGAAAAATTTGGTGGTTTTTCTGAATTATGATCTCTGTCAAATAACCTCCTTGCTTAATTGTTGACCAAGAAAATACCTCCTTCCAAAGTGCTGAACTTGAGACTTAACATGTTTGAAGCGGCTTAGGTTTTTTTTTTCTTCATATTATGTTACCATTTATTTACTGACTGCTATATTTTGTGAACTGTTATTGTGCAGGCCACCCAGTCGATGTTTTGGTCTACAAAAATATTTTTTATTTATTAGTCAATTTTTTTTTTGTTTAATTGATGTTAATTTTTTTTTTCAGATTCAAAGACTGATGACTCTCTCAGATCTTTACACTAAAATGGGATTTATGCGTAAAGCCTCATTTTATCAGCGTTTAGCTGCATCTCGCTATGTGTCAGCCAGAAATCCACAGACTGACTGGGATCAGTGCTACAGTCTTATGATTCAGTCTCTGACAGGTCATCGCCTTACATTAGATCCTGCTGATTATCCCATGAGTATGTTATTATTATGCTGTTATTGTCATTCAGTATTATAATTAAACTTATAGTATAAGCTATAAATATTGCTGGGTAGAATTCATGGGATATAATTTCACTAGCCTGCTATTCTCATTGCCTGTGTTAAGTTTCATATATCAAAAATATTTAGCTAATATTTGAATAATTAAATCTATAGAATAAAATTGTATGTTTACTACTTTTATTTATTTTTTTAATTGATAGATGGAGAAAACGGATGGGGTAGGCTCCAAAAACAAGTCTTACAAGATGTCGTGGTTGCTGCCAGACGTGTCGGACACTCCTCCTTAGCCACACGACATATGACACTCTTACTTCAAGTTATGTGGTCTGAACTGACACACGCTGAAAGGCACGAAGCAGCCCTTCAACTGAAGGGTATTGCAGCACAGTGTGAGGGTTCTCCGGTTCCCCTTGTGCTCGAGTCTGGTCTTGTTATCCCACCGGCTAATCTAATACACATTCCTACTGCTGAGTATGAAATAAAGTCTATCTTTGGTAAAGTCTTGTTTGTGGATTAAAATTTAACAGATTAATGAAGTCCACATAATAATCATTTAATTGTACATTAAGTATATTTATTTAATTGTTTTTGTGGTTCTTGAAATTTGTTATTTCATTAATCAATGAATATTTTAAACGGACAGTTGTTAATTATCTTTTAAAAATTAATTATTGCAAAGATAATTTTGTTTTATTTCTTTGATTTGCCATTAACTGTTAAAAAAAAGAACATTTATTGTGGAGAAATATTTTCTAACTTTTGTTCAAACCTAATGTGGGAGTGTTATGGAGTTTTTATTACCTTGAAATATTTAACTTTCATTGCATTATTTCAACAGGAGTTTTGTAGTTCATAAATTGCGACAGCATTTACAACCTATGAAAATGGAAAAAGTCAAAGAAGACTACGGTCCATTTTTATTTACTCCACTTAATTTTGGTTCAATGGAAAGAAAGTCAGGATCAACAAAGGATAGTAAACTAAGTAAGATATTAGTTTTTTTTTATCAGTCAATAAATCAGAAAATTACTTTATTATTCTCATAATATATTTTGTATTTACAGGCTATCTTTGGGTTGCTGAGGAAGAATGTGAAGTCAAAGTTGAATTAACTAATCCTTTGCCTTTTGAATTAGAAGTATCTAATATGGTAAGGCAAAGGTTTATTATAATATTATAATTATCTCTGGTAAAATGTGTAATAGCAATAAGTATTAGTTGTTTCAATAACAGGTTTCTTTTCTTTCTTTTTCTTTTGTGTGTGTGTGTAAAGTAAAATAAGAAGGAGTTATGGTGCTACAAGAGTTAATGATGAGTGAAAAATTAAGAGCAACAATGGAATTGAGGCAATATTAGAGAATCATAACATTATTAACTATATCAAGGCTAGTAGGCTGAGATGGGCAGGACATGTGGTTAGAATGGAGAATGAACGGGTGCAGAAGAAAATGCTAGAGGCACACCTCTGCGGGAAGAAAAAAAGAGGAAGGATGAAGTGGAGAGAGACGTGAGGAAACCAGGAGTCCACAATTGGAAGAGAGAAGCACAGGACACAGAGAAGTAGCAAAGAATAACTCAGGAGGCCAAGGTTCATGCTGGCCTGCAACAAGGGGAGTTAGTTAGTTAGTGTAAAGTAAACTTCTAACCACTTGTTTTATTGAATTATGAACATCCTCCTGAAACTTCGTGAATAGCTTTATCTCATCGTAACCTACAAATATTATATTTACGAAAACTCTTGGGATTGGGGCATTTTCAATCTGGAGGTCGGCAAATTTTGTCTATTTATTTAATTAGCTACTAAAAACTCTTAAATACTCATTTGCTTTTCTTTTGGATCGTTAAATGATTGAATCAATATTCAATATTTTTGAGGGCCACATTTTTTATTGATTTTGTGAGAAAATTATCTAAAATCCAAGTAGAAAGCAAATGAGTATTTACAAGTGTTTAGTACATAATTAAATATACAAAGTTCCCCTCCCCCCTTCCTGATTGAAAAAGTCCCAATTCCAAGATTTTTCATTAAATAAAATAGTTCTATGTGTTGACTATTCTGACTGTACATTACTTTAAAATTATAAAATAGTTAATAGTTTTATATAAAACACTTAAAAAGTACACATAAATAAATTACTTAAGAAATCAAACTATATATTCTTGTTGTGAGTCGCATCTAATATCTTAATTTATTAAATTAACATGTATGCTATTTAATTTCTGATATAAAAAAATGTTTTTAAATTTATTAATAATTCTTTTTAGCGGCTGTTAACAAACGGTGTGGTATTCGAAACACTCCCACTTACTGTTACTTTACCTCCAGATGCTGTGAAATATCCTGTAACTCTTGCTGGAACGCCTAAAGAAGTTGGAGAATTAGAAATTTCTGGTGAATATTATAATTTGTTTAATATTTATTTAAATTTTATAAATTAAATTGAAATTATTTATTTATTTTTTTAAAACATACTATTATAAGGACTATCAGCTGCTATTATGCTTCTATCTTAATCTATTTTATAACTTTGGTTTTTCTATCCAAAATATTCTGCCATATTTTATTTCTTATAATCTTATTGTGTTTTACTTCAATTATTTCTTGTTGAAATTAGACCATATTCATGGTAAAATATCATTAATTAATTATGTTTTCGTTCTTTATTTATTTTTAGGTTATTCAACACACACTTTAGGAGTAAAGAGTAATTGTCGTCTAAAAAACCTACCTAAAATTCACCAGTCACAGTTTGTAATAGAAGTAGTTCCTGCCCTTCCTCTTCTTGAAGTTAGTTAATAATTTTATTTTTTCAGTTTGAGTTAAAGAATTTCATCATTTAATTAATTTAGATATGATTATTTCTTTAGGCTAAAATTTTGATTGGACCTGAGAATGAAAAAACTTCTTCAGTTATTTCTCTCTATGCAGGTGAAAGGTAATTTTTTTTTTTTTTGCTTTTGAGAGTGGTTTAGCTTAGTGAGTAAGGCACTGGACTAACTCCTGTGCTCTTGTTTGAGACTGACCGATTTAATTTATTTTATATCACTCGTATATCGATTTTGATGTTGGGATATCCTTCTGTGCTACTTCCAGCCTCTACTAAATGAGAACCTTAAAAACTTAAATGGCTTTGGAAGGAATCTAGTTATTTAGGATATTCAACTGAAAGAATGTCTTTATAATAGAGAACACAGAAGTCAGAGAAGGCAAAAGACTTCCACGATTGAGGTCGCTTCTCGTTTTCATTAGAATAAGTTTTGTAATAGAGGATTAATAGATTTATCCATGGGGTATTGGTTATTTCTAACATTTAAAAAAAAATCTCCTTAATTTTTATAAATATAAATCTCTTGAAATGTTTATAAATTGTAATCTTGATTTATTTATGTTATCTATGATTGGGATAATTTGGTCTATTAAGCCATTCCTTTTATATCGAATAATAGAGGAAGTTAGTTTAAACCGTAGATTTTATATTACATTAATTTGCTACCAGTTACTAAAGTTTTTATTTATTTTTTTTTTTTATTTTTAGCTAATATAAATCATAAATTAAACCAAATATATGTGTACTTCTTCATTCAACTCTTAAATTTATTTTGAATTATTATGATTATTAATTTTTACTGTTCATCTATATATGCCGGTTAATTTTATTTTTATTTGTGCCCTTTCTCAGGACTGTATATGATTTAGTTCTACAGAATGTTGGAAGAGGCCCTGTTGAAGTTGTCGAAATCATTGTTGATTCCGGATTAGACTCAAACATGATCACTTGTGACATTACGCCACTCAAAGACCACCTGCCGTTGGCAGAAGATGAACAAGTTCGATTGCCAGTGACTTTCTTTGCTGTTGCCAATTTCGTCAGCAGTTTTCCTCCAGGTTTGTGGAATTCGTATACCTAATTATACCTTAACGAGGATAACATTTTTTTATGTTCTTAATTAAACAGATGCAGGCAGTATGAGAAGCAGTTTATTTTCTGGGACCAATTCATTCCCATCATTATCATCGAGTTTCAGGCCAGGAATGTATGACCATTTGACTACACCAACTCCTTCTTTTAGGTAATATTTATTGATATTAGCAAAATGTATTATGTATTTCCTACCAGAATTAGAAAAAATTAAAAAATAAAGTCTGGATTGGTTTCAAAACATAAAAATAACTTGCAAGACCTATAAACATTATTTCAGAGATAACAATAACTTCTGAGACAAATTAAGTTCAGTATCTAGGACTGACATTCAATAGAAGAATGACATGGGGTCCACATATCAAGAACAAAATAAAAACTCTAAACCTAAGACTACAACAGGTATATTCACTCCTTCCAAGATGTTCGAAATTGAAACTTAGTCAAAAATTGAATACATGTACCTAGTTAGTTTGCCCCATTTGAACCTACGCTTCACACGTATATGGGACAGCCAAAAAGACTCACAAACATAAACTATAGACTTATCAATCAAAAACTTTCAGGACTATAACCAATACTTCCTGGAACGTTAGTATTATTACTTTACATATAGACTTGCATATGCCAACAGTAAATGACCACATACACACATACTACCAAAGATTTTTTGAGGGTCAAATGGTTTCGTTTTCCAGATGAATAGCTCCTAATTACCTACTTCATAAATGAAAAATCTGAATATCGAAAACATTGGACATACGTTTTGCCACACTGTTTCAGATATATTACAATCAAATATATTTTATTTTTAAATTTGGTATTTGTTTTATTATAGATCAGGACCAAGCAGTCTTAATTCACTTAGTTCACAGTTTAATAAATTGAATATCGATAACTCAACTAAGGTAAGTGTAATAATTTCACATAAATTTTAAAGTATTCGTGGTTGAATAATGTTTTGTCTGATATCAAAATTTAGTTTGTGCATTATCTATATATAAAGGCTTCCCTGTTCTTTGTTCAGTCTCGATTAACAGATATTTATTTATTCTTTATAAATAGATTTACATTACTTTATTTAAAAAAAATTCAGCTATCATATACATTGTTTCTTTATAGTTTATATCTTTAAATATAAAATGTCAAAGCTCCTAAGTTATGAATATAATCTGCTCAACTAAGGAATAAGATTAAAACTAGCCTTTCAGCTCATTTATCCATCTATTTTTACCTAGTTTCTGTGATTTATATTTTAAATAAATTTTTGTTTTATTTCCCCTCAGCTGGTATGGTATGTTACTTATGAGGCTGTCTGTTCTTCCTTGACAACAATAAAAAAAATGTTGGCTCTTATCTCTTAAAAAATCCCTTAGTGCAGGCATTTACCTTATTCTTGTATATTATACTAAATTTTGTGGTAAAGGAAATTGTCAATCAGTTTAAGGAATTACTTTTGAGTTTAAGTTGCCCTTTTTATCATTATTGTAGTCATTTTATTATTTAAAATATGTTTATTAGTCTTGTTGTACTAATAATACAGTTATTTAATTTTTTTTTTTTTTGCCTCTTGTGAAACGTGTGTTTTTCATTAGGGTATTGAATGCAGAATCAAAGTACGTTATTCTGCTAAGCCCGGTTTGGATGCTGGCTATTGCCGCGTGGCCTCTGTCCTCCTCCATATTGATATTACCAACTCTATATTAATATCAAATTGGGATGTGCTGCCTGCAGAAACGTAAGGCGTTAGTTATTGACAATGGCTCAGCCTTCTGCTTGTGTACTTTTGTTTTTATGTTAATAAACAATTTTTTTCACATTTCAGGAGTTCACAGTTTTATATGGTTTTGGATGTTGTAAATATGACTAACCAAGAGGTAGAAGTTAAGTACACGGCTAATAAATGCATTCTTATTGAAGAAGGAGAATCTTGCAGAGTTCCAATTCCAGTTGACAGGTGTCCGCTTTCCAAAGTTGGTAAAGTAAGTAAGGAAACGGCACCTATCTTATAAGAATGTGGGAAATCCTAAAAATGTAATAGATCCTATTTTTTCAGTTGTATTATTTATATTTATCTTTATATTGATTAAAATCAAAAGTACTTATATATGAAAACAGGAGGAAAGGAATATCTGGATTAACTGGTTTTTTATTTGGGAAGACTGGATAAAACAGGTCTAGTTTTTTTTTAAATTGTTCCAGTATTTTTAATTTTACCTTTGAAGAATTCATTTCGGAATGTATCTCTCTTAAAATACATAAAAGAAATAAAAATAAATTTTGGAAGAGTTATCGATCAAAAAGACCTTCATGTCTATTTTTTCTGTATCAAAATGTCGCTTTTGTAATTTTAAAAAATTAATTATAGTTGATCTACTCTATTATAATAACTCAAATTTTTTACAAATAATAAAATTTCTGGAAGATAACTTCATATTGTAGGGACACTTCCAAAAGAAATAAGGGGTTGTTAAATAAAAAACAAAATTATAAAAATATTAATCTGTTAAACTGAAATTTATAATTATTTCATCTCAAGGGATGGGGTACTAATAATCAAACCAAAAGATTCAGATAGACTAAAATTAACTACATTAAACACTGTTTGATTTTAAAATAAAGTGAAGAATAAATTGAGCAGGTAACCTTTATTCTATATGCACTGTTTCTTCCTTTGTGGCACTGTAGTTCACTTGTATTCAAACACTTAATTTATTTGAATTTATTAATATCCTAATTTATTAATCAATATTCTGTTAAACACCTTCCAATATGGTAATACTTACACCTATTCAACTTAAACTCCCTGAGACATCCTCTCTCTTATAGTTCCTAACAACTAGTGACTCAGCCAAACAACTGAACCAAAACAAAGATCCTTTGTTCCTCCTCTAGCAGCTATTATCCTCCTTGGGGAAACTTCAGAGCAACCATTTTCTTTTTCCTGAACTAGTGAAACTATTTTTCATATTTAAACATCCCCTGGCATAAACAGAACTAGATTAGCTCACCTTTTAACTGTTCAAAATTAATTTACTAAACCATTTTCACAACTTGCAATAAAGGTGTATATTACATTTCTCCCCACATACGAGTAAAAAAAAACTTTTTTTTAAATTAAATTTAGGCGAATACTGAAACTCATTTACAACACATTAAAACATTACAAATTACAAAAATTACAACTCATTCAGTAGAAACAAAATTTTTTTAAAGATTACCTCTGTATTACATCTTAACTATTTTTTATTTCCTAACTTTTAACCTTTTCTTAAAGAGTTATTCACATGAAATATTGACATATACCTTGTTCTGCCATAAATACTGTTACAAAAGTTGAACTTTGTTAACATCCTTGGGTGTTATTTAGATAATCCTTACCTTAAATGTCAGGATAATAGTCCCAATTAGTTTTTGTTTCTCTTTCACTCAGTTAACATGGATTGAGGTGATAAAGAAAACTGAATAGCTGTGATCACCTTACACAAAGTTGGAAAATGTAGGTCAAAGATTTTCAGCACTTGGAAACCTTTGGGTATTAGCCATATGTTCATGTACCCACTATAAATATGTATAATGATACCCTATTTATATATGACAGACCTCAACCGGGCTGGGCCATCCGTGCATTATGAGACCGGCAAATGCAGTGAGGGCAGTGGCAGCTCGAATCAGAAGAAATCCCATTCGAAAACAACAAATCAAATCTGGGAAAATGGGAATCTCTGTCAGATCAATGTCTTGTATAATAAAAAGTGAACTTAGGATGGATGCATTTTGAAGAATGACGGACAAAAGCTAACCACTTCCCTAAAATATAATGAGAGTGGATAGATGCTAAGTGCTCAAAGTTCATCTCTGGCTTGGATTGGAAGCCCTGATCTCAACCCATTAGATATCATATCGGCTTTGGTCTGAACTGGAGAGGATGGTAAGCCACAGAGCACACCCAATCTCTGGTTCGAGCAGTTGAGCACTTTCCTCAGGAAGTGCTGCGTGCTGCTGTTGATGACTGGCCACGGAGATTAAATGCCTGTGTCAAGACAAAAGGAGGACATTTTTAGTCATTTATTTTTTGTTTTACTCTCTATAGATATAAATTTTATTTTCTAATAAAGTTTTTGAAAAAATTAATTTTTCTGTTGAAATCTGTATATATTTCCTTGTAACAATATTTATGACAGGAATAGGTACAAAATAAATTACACAATTACAGTAACATATAAATACTAAAATTAAATTGAACACCATCTTATAATTTAAATCTAATTTGCACTAAATATAAACTATGTAATTACGTTACTTGTTCAAATAATTTAAGAAAAGTAAGTTAAGTATATGGATATATAAGTAATAAAATGAGCTATATATATTATTTAAAAAAAATATATTATTTAAAAAATATATATATTATTTAAAAAATATATTTATTTATAATTTCCATATCTTGTGTACAACTAATATAAAAAATAACTGCTTGAATTATTTCTATAACATTCTAAAGTATATAATAACTTTTATTATAGGAATAAACAGAGAGAAAACCCTAATCAATTAAGGCCATTTCTAAGTTTATTCTAAAATATGGATTTTACTTAGCAATATCCGGCCAAAACAAATTACAACTTAGTAAACTTTTAAATATTATTATCGGATATTATATTTATATTTTAGTTATTTTATCTAATCTAAATCAATAATTTACACTGAGGTCCATTACCTTCTGTTCATAAAATGTATAATTAAAATCCTAATCATAACTATACCAACAATGCAATTATACTATTTACAAAGATGCCTACAAAAATATTTAATGATTTACACTTTAACATCACATACTGAAATAAATATTTTTACAAAGAAGTGACTTTTAAATATGCTTTTTTGTTTTGAAGTACTTTCAAGGAGAGGATTCAATAAAGGATATAGTAGATCTAAATCTAGCCTGCAGTGATCATATAGCTTCGCTAGTAGAAGTGGACTGGGAACTCGGAGGTCGGAAGGGAAAAGCCTCTCTGAAAGGCATCACATTATCCTCTCATATGTTGGATATTGTGAGAATGTCTCCTATCAGCTGGGGTATGATATATATTTATTTATTTAATTTTGATTTAAAACTATTGATAAGGTTAGTTCAATATTATTTACTTGATACCTTGACATTTTTATTTATTTTATATCTTTACAGTAACTAGTGTTCGCCCAGTGGTTGAAATTCGACCATAGCCACTAAAAATTTGAGGAAAAGATATAATTAAATAAAAAATAAATTAAATAAATAAAGAGTAAATCACGATTCAAAAATCCTCATTTATTAATACAAACAGAACTTCAATTTCAATTAAAAATCGAGCTTAAATCACTTAAAATTATTTATATGCAATGCAAAATAAACTAATTCAAAAATATTTAATTTTCAATTTAATTTATGTGTGTTATTATCACAATAAATTAATGTTATTATTAAGCAAGTATAAAATAAATTTAAATTAGCAATTTAAATTCACTTTAAATCTATTTTTATTCAGAACTTCTATGTAAACAATGTTCTTTTTGAATGTTCTGTTATTGTTTAGTGCATAGCCATGCCCATTGCCAATGGAAATATAAATTTCAATATTTTAAATGAACATACTCTAATTGCTGCCACATATAATTGTCCATGCGAAATTACTGGACTTCACAATAATACACACATTTTTCCAAAATTTTTATCCTGTGATTTGATTATGGTCATAGCAAATTCAGCTAATAATAGAAATGTTTTACTTTGAAAGTTGAATGTAAGTATAGTGTCAGAAAATGTTAAATTAATTCTTGGAATTAAAATTCTTTAATTTAAAGTAGCCCCCGTTAATACTTCAGTCTCATTCCTGTTCCATTAACTAATGCCTGTACAGTATTTAAGTTAACAATGAGTATAACTATAGAATATATTTTTAAATTTAATTTATGAGGTATCATTCCACTAACATTGCATATCATCTCTTCAAATAATAGACCCAATTACCTCTGTAAATGAAAAGTTTTCGATTTATCAAAAAACAAATTAAAGGAAATCGAATTTCCAAAGGAAAAGTACTAAATGTTTAAAATGATATATCTCTGCAAAAAAATAGTCCGATTTCGATGATTGTTTTTTTATTTTGTAGGAAATTCAGGATGCTTTCAAATGAATACTGTTATTATCAATAAACAAATGTGTACTTTTTGAGTTCTTCGCAAATAAAATACTGAATTCATCATAAAAATGTATGCAGCTTGTTTTCGGGAAAGTATGTTATATACATAAATTATAAAGGTTTCGAGGGGAAGACTTTAGCCAAGTTTCATTGAAATCGTTGAAGCCGTATTGGCGCTACAGTCTAAAGCGAATCACGTTTTTCGGCTGCCATTTCGAAAGAAAAGGCCTGATGATAATGAAACGTACAAAAAAAAACTTCTAAATATTATTGCGACGTTGTGTCAAAATTTAAAAGAAATCGGTGAAGAACTTTCGGAGATAAGCCTTTTTGAACAAACTACCATTTATATTTTTATTTGCATACTATTTAATATTTTTTATTATTGATAACACTAAAGCTCGTCAATATCTATTAAACCTAAAAAGAATGAAGAAAATCGGTTGAATAATAGAGGAGTAAAAGGTGCTGAACCGAATTGTGTTTGCCTGTTTATATAATGATTTATATTAATATTGGTAGCTATACCATCTTTTATTAATAGAATTCAAATGATTAATCTCTGAACCTGAGATAACTGATACCATATCATAATTAATATGAATTTATTTGCTGTGAATTATAAGGCTAATCAATCTCTAAAACATTCTTAATTCTAACTGATTAATTTCTTTTATATTTTGATACATTGTTTTTACTTTCACTTACCTATATATGTAATATATAGTAAGGGTAAGTATTGCGATCGTGAAAATTTTTGAATCTAAGTTTTCAAGGGAAATACACCTTTGAAGTCCCCTGAGTCCAAATAGGTCCAGAGACTGAAATTGTGTGGTTTATAAAATCAGAAGGAGTTACTAGATGTTTATTGCCCACCGTCGATGTAATAAATAGACTTTTTGTAATTTTAATGGTCTTATTGATTTGTAATATGTAAGCCTTATGCTTTTGCTCCGTTTAAATACATTTCAAAAATTTTATAATAGCTCAACATTACCAGAAAATAATTTCTATTCAAAGTAGAGTGGCAAGTGAAAATCGTGTGTTGTGCGCACCATATTTTTTAATTAGAAGTTTGTTCTCATCTAGATTTTAAAGAAGGCACTTGAGATAATTGCTATATTTTCAGGAGAAACTTCAGTTTAACTGCCTAGCTTCTTAAAACTATTGTGCGCTATGTTGATTTATTTGATAAAAGTGATATGGATGTAAATGCGCTTATCTATATTGAATTTAAAGTAAAGAAACAAAGTAACTTGAGGTGGAAATAGATGATCTTTTTTTTTTTTTTTTCTGGGAAGTTGTATGTATGATATTCTTAGTTATTTGGCAATTATTACTTCCAATTAGCAACAATTGAATATATTTGTTGTATTATAAAAATTGCATATATACAATGTATACGTTTCAGGATATTTACTCCCATCTTCAGAACCACAATGCCAATGATCTTGTGGATACAAGGCTTAAAAATAATGTGCTCCATCGTCAGTTTCTAATTCATGTTATAATAATCTAGGTATATTGCCAAATAACTAAGAACTATAGATAATCTCTTTTTTGAGATAAATTTTAAAAACGTTATGTACATATTTTTGTTCAGAAAGAGATGAACCTTTATTTGTTAATTCAAAGCACTTATTCCTTAATCAATAGGAGGTTTATCATAATAAAGGTTAAGAACTGTTGATCTATAGAAGTAATGATCAGTATAAAAATTTCATTAATCTTAAGCCTTTATTTTTTTTGATCAGTCATTTATTTTATGTTATATTTATTAATTTTCATTTATATTCAATTATATCTTTGTTATAATAAAAGTGAATATTTATATTGTTGACACCATGTTAAAGTAATGAATGTAGATTTCTATACTTTCCAAGTGAGCAAATTAACAAATTTAACTGTAATTTTCTGTAGGAATTTAGTAATTTATTGAAGTTTTAATTTAATTAGATCTCATGAAGTACACAAATGTTGTTTCTTGTCATTGGTGTGGTTTCAATAAATATTAACTATTAATAAAGTTAACTTTAAAATATTCATTACTTTACAGATGAAGGGATTTTGGCATAGTGTATCACCAAATTGAAGGCAGACTATCGAACGTACATTTTTTGTGCAGATTCGCTCTTTTACAATGCATTTTCATTGCAGAGGATTCGTTACTTTACATACAAGTAAACTAAAGGTTTAAAAAAATGGTTACAACAATGAGAAATTTAATAATGTTTGTAGTTTAATACAATAATTATTTTATTAATGCATAAAAATAATATGAATATAAAAAAGTAATGCAAAAAGAATATTTTAATAATTTGCAAAGTTAATAAAAATGTTCAATATAATTTAAAGAGAAATATGAAAAAGTAAATTAAAAAGTCAAAATGTAAATAAAATGGTAGATTTATAATTACTAAAATTGTGAAACATTAAAAAATTAGTCGTAATGCTCAGCTGGCCTATCTTGCATAATTGTGTTCGAAGGGTGTAGCTCAAAGAAATTTTTATATGCTCTGGGTATTAGTCCATTTTCACACAACTGCATAAGGTTCTTTTTTTTTTTACATTTGAGATACAGAGCCGATCATAATATGAATGATAAGGTTGTGGAACAAAATCGTCAGGAGTCTTTTTTTTTATTACCATGTTTTTGTTTTTTTTACTAATGTTTGGAAATCGTCATTGTCCAGGGACCATTGAAGTTCACAGATTCTTAAAAAAAAAAATATTAAAATGTATAGTAGAGGATTTGCCATATTCGAGAGTTCGAAATGATTTAATATTGGTTATGGTGTTTCGAAATGTAATTGAAAACTAACAAATTTGGTATATTCAATAGATTATTATCATGTTTTCAAATATTGTTGATCTCTGCCCAATCTAAACTTACAGTTGTGATTATTCCTTACTTGACATGTAAGGAACATGTACATTTCTAGCAAATTAAAACATTTGTAAAAAAGACATAACTGCTTCCGGTCGCCGTTCAGATTCGAAATTTTGCAAGAAAGTGACCCTAATGGAGTTCTATGGTAAACAAAAGAAATGGAAAATGTGATTTTACATACTTTAACATGGTGCAGATGATATAATTAATCATTGTTTCGTAAATTAAATAATATTGAGAGGTTATTATCTTTCAGATGTTCATATAAACGGGGAAGAAGCTAGCGGTGCACCTATGATGGTCGGAATTGGTGAATGCATCCAGATACAAATAGTAGCTCGGAATTCTCTTCCATGGCCTCTAAAAGACATATCCTTGTCTGTTCAGTTCTTCCAAGACTATCAGAACAATACTTACAATTTCAATTTGGATACTCGCCTTGCTATGGCAGGGCCTTCCCACTTGCACTTACCTATAGTGAGTCATTTAATTTATTTTGATTTCTATAGGTATATTTTTGTGGATGTTGTTGATATGTTGGATGTGGTTAGAAATAAAATATTTAGTATGTATTTTTTTTATTTAATTATTTGTGTTGGCATTTTCTCCTGCTTTGTAAGCCTTTAGGGCTAAATAAACAAGATAGTGAAACAATTGATTAAATTAAATAAAAGGGATAAACATGACGAACCTGACTAGAATTGATAAAATGAGAATCATAAATTTACCTATAATACTTTCAGTCTGACTTAATTTAATTTGAGTGGGTATCAAAAGTGTAATCTATTATCATAAAAAAATAAAATTATCCACCTTTTTCTTTCTTTTCATTATATATATAATATAATATATAAATTTCATACATATAAATATATCTACTGGTTATTGAAATGCTACATAAACAAGGCTTTCCGTTCTTGTTTTTATTTTTTATGATAAATAAAATTTCTTTATTATAACTATATCAGTCCAATTTAATTTGTAAATTAATTAATTTGTTCTGTTTCAGGTTTTAGAACATGGAAGTGCTGATTACTGCTTCAATGTGGTATTTTTTATTCCTGGACAATATAAAATGAATGTCCAATGTGTATCTCAAGGGAAAAACACTTGGAAACTCGTACCTCCAGTCGAATTTGATGTTCATGATGCATAGATTTGGCTGTAAAAATAATGTGCATCATGAGATTCAAATTACCTTTTTTTCCTTTCAATAATTTATGTCATGAAAAAAATTGTCAATTTTGCTTTGATTTAAAGTTAAACTTGTCAGTAAATATGTACATGTTATTTATCACTTGTTTCAACTTGGCCTACAAGAGAGATAGATAGAGCTACATAGATATAATATTCTTTAAGTTTTTTTTTCTTCTGAATTTATTGAGGAAGTTTTTGTTAGTATATTTTCTAAATTAGATGTTGCCTTATTTATTGTTATCCTTAAATATAGCTTTGTTTTGTTGATTGTTTTATACTTGTGTGTTTATCTTATCACACACACATGAAATTTATTTAATGTGTAAAAAAGTATATTATATATTTATGTTTTTTATAAAATATATTTTTATATTTAATTTTTATTGTTACCTCATTCTATTAATATTTTCAGAAACTGTTATAAATAATATTGAATCGGATTTTCAATTTAAGTATGGGTATACGAATCTCACCATTTTCTAACATAAATAGACAGAAGGTGGTATAAAATTTACTTTCTTTCTTTCTTTCAAGGTGGTTTTACATAGTGGATGGAAAAAATATTTTATTGGATTGTAAAAATTAGAGTACCGAATTTCATCCCCAACTTCTTAGTTATAAGCTATTTCTTCAGGAAGTTGGGTATCAGTTCTTCTTTGATAGTTACCTTGGGTAGATGTAGATTATCATAATTTTTTTTTTTATTTATTTAGAAATATAATAATCTGTCACGTGGTCAATAATTATAGTGAGATATGAACACATTCACACTATATATACAGAAAACATAAAATTAACTGAAGTAAAATAATAACTAAGTAATAATCAAAAACTTTGTACAATAAAAAATAAAATAATCTAAAGTTAAGTAAATTAAAAACATAAAAAGACAGTCATACCTATGTGCAATATATACAATCAGTCAGGGAACCCCAAGCCAGGCTTGTCCCTCCAACTGTAGAGGGAAAAGCATGACTCCGAGAGATCCCTGTGCTACTCTCTCAACTGCGTTACTGGTGCTAAAGCCAGTGGAGATTGAGCAATAGCGCTTTAGCCATATACACTCATGTCTTGAGTGGAGAATCTGGCCATTGCAAGAACTCCAAGATATATACTACAAAAGATCTCTGGCCACTGCCGCTTCAACCTTCGAGGAGGATTGTAGGAATGAGTGGAACTAGATAGAGATTGTACAAGGAGATTTGAATGATTTGTGAGGTGCTGATGGAATTTGGAAAATTTTTCAGGAATAATGTCATGATATAGGGTAGCAGTCCAAATTGCTTGTTGAATAGTGGTGGTAAAGGAATGTACGGCATTATCAAGGTCTGGGGTTTTCACGGATATTCTGAGGTGAATTTTATCAGAAAGAATTTGAAGAAAGAGTTTTCAGTCAACTGGGCCTCTGATGAAGGACGGGGATTTAGGAATAGGAGCTATTGATAATTGAAGTATTAATGGACTATGATCTGAGGAAAGTTCATCAAGACGGGTAACAGAATACTTGTGGGGACCTAAACCACTGTGGATGAAAAAATCAAGGATGTCAGAATTGCGGTTAGGATCAGTGGACCAGTAGGTAGGTGAGTTGGGTGGAAGGAGACTGAAATGTTGGGAATTGAGTGCAAACATCGATGTTCTGCCTCGAGAATTCGTGGTTCTTGAACCCCATTCTTGATGCTTGGCATTTATGTCTGCACCGAGAATGATGTGATGACCTAAGGAGAGAACTGAACTGGACTTCGGATATAGATCTGTTAGGAGGGCAATATGCTGATGAAAGGGTGATCGGAAAGGAGAAGATTTTGCTTACGATTGCGGTTGATTGTAAGAAATCTTGAGTAGTTAATGGGTGTAAGTGATGAGAGAGGGGTTAGTGTACGATGATAGCAGTACCGGCATGTGCTCTACTGTCAGGATGGTCAGTACGGTATGTTATATACTGTGGGATTTTTAAAATCTGTTTTCTGGTCAGTCAAGTTTCTGTAATTAGGGCTACATCAGTGTTCTTGTCTAGTTGTGAAGTTGTTAGTTCGTCGACGTGATTTCTAACAGCAGTCGCATTCCAAAGGAGAATATATATGTGTTTGATGCGAGTCATTTAAGGATATTTTACAGGAGGGATGAGGTGAAATGCTAGATTTGTGAGAAATGATATGAGTGGGGTAAGCATTGATTTGAATTAAATGAGGAATGACGACAACAAACTGGTGAGATCTGTGGCATTTGAGGGATGAGGAATTTGAGGTTGTTGATGGTTAGGTATGTTAGGATAAACAGGATATTGAGGTTGGGGTTGAGGTAGTTGCTGCGGCAGTTTCTTCCACAGAAGTTCTAAATAAAAAAGTGTTTTAAAAAAATTAAAAGTCCTTTAAAAATTACTTGAAAAGTTGAAAGGGAAAAAGTTCTAGTTCTGAAATAACAGAATACAAATTCTAAATAAAGATTCCAGTTATACTGAAACTGATTAGATAAAAAAGTTAAAATTTCATTTCAAGTCTTGAAATAATTAAAATATAGAGATGTAAAAAACATAAATTGAGATGTAACAAATTATGTATGTTTAGAAAGCTGTATGGGAAGTTGCTGCTTAGTGTATATTTACAAATATAGACCTAATGATTGAAATGAAGCAATGATAAATATTTCATTAAATAATATTTATTGTTAAACGTATTCTATTAATGAGTGCTTTATTTATGTATTTTTAAATAGATTTATTTTGCTTATAAAGAGATAATTGGAGTACATCATTCAGTATTATTGTTTTCATAACCTTCTAACATGCAGCCTGACATTTTAAAATTTTTGGCTGCTCCATTCTAAAATTAAGTTGCTCATCCTTGTTCTGCAGTATGTATTGAACCATTTTGGGGTGATGAGGTAGTGAACTATCTCTACTTGGTTAGGATATTTTGAATTGTTTATTTGAGCATTCTGCAGTCTCCTCATCTTATGTGTTTCAATTCAGATGTTAGCTGAATTTGGGAAACGTTGACCAGTTAGCTATTTTAGAGTCTCAAGTCATTGTTTTGAAATTTCCTAACCTGATCACCATGATATGTTGAACACTCATGTCAAGACTTACTTTATCTTTTGGTATCAATATCGAAATAATAAATTGAAATGGTTTGGTTTGGTTTGATAAAAAATAGAATATTTTTAATAAACTGTTTTTAGATTTTATTTAATGCTGAATAGAAACTTATAATAATAAAATCAGTGCAGAATCAGTCTCTTAAGATGCGGATGGCCTGTTGACCTCATCCCGACCTTTGTGCTCGATGACCACGTCCTTGAAAAAGAAGTTAGGAACATGGTAGTTGTTATACAACCGCCTGTTGAAGGGGAATCCCATTGGGCGGCCGTCGTAGAGTCCCATGCCACCACAGGCAATGTCGAAGTTGTTGTCAGGTTGTGCGGAGCTGCGGTCAAAGCTGTTCACAATTACTGCCATTTGTATTGGGCGACCTTGCTTCCATCCCATTGGCAGTTGGAGTCTCTCTGGCAGTCCACAACGACCGTACTGCAACATCAAGTAATGGTATATAAGTGATTAATAGTCCACTATCCAATCCTAATCAAAGTAAACTTATACTTATTCAGCATAGGGTTTCAAAGGAAGTCTTGGCCCAATCAAATAAAAACAAAAAACTTGTAATTGTGTTATAAACTTTCTAGAGAAGTACTACTTTGGCTGTCTATCAAACAGAACCTTTAAAAGGGCTTCATATTACTAAAAAGAAAACTTAATTGATATGGAATAGCTGGAAATTATGTATTGGCTATAACTGAAATATGAAGGGCATATACTGAGGGCTAAGACATTTTTGAACTTAAAAACATGTTACTAACTAATATCAAGCTTATAATTATATAAAATTCAAATTCAATAGTTGGAAAATTAAGATATATTTGAAAATAAATATACCTATAAGACAATATTTTTATCACATTTCAGTATCACTTCATCAATTTTATTATTCTGTCCTTATAAGATTTAAAACTTTTCCATTCTTCTTCACTCTTTCTAAACTTTTCACAACTAAGCAACCAAATCATGATTTTTGTAAATTGTTGATAACTTGCATTTTGTAACTTAATATTTTTTGCCATATTTCGTTGTTTCTTTTCCATTTTGCGTTTTACTTCTTTTATTAAGTGGAACTATTCTTCCTGATATGGGAGAGATTCAGAGAATCTCATTCCTACAGTATCACAATTTTCTCTTAGAAGTCTTTCCAAACTTTTCATCTCTTTATAAAACCGTGAAACATTTTTTTTTTTTTCTTATGTGATTATTACAAATTCTTATGAACGTAAAGTAAGGGTAATTTGGAAGAAATTTACGTTTTGTTTTTTAAATGTGACATTGTTTGATATATAGAATATTTTTACAATATTTACGAAACATATTTTATGCAAAAATAAAAAATCGAAATTATTAAAAAAAGCTTGACATGTTTTTTCGATTTGTGATAAAAGTTATGAAAGTTCGATTCATGGAAATTCGATTGCAGACAAAAAATATTTTGCAATGAAATTCATATGATAATTTTATGGTACCAATGATTCCATATTAAAACGAGAATAATTTGTATAGTTCATAAATCAAATATTCACAATAGGTTCATTTTCTTCCCTAAATCAGCTCATAAGATGACGAAATTGTGAATCGCTACTATGTGTTTAGTCTCGTTGGGCAAATATCGCTTCTCTAAAAAGATGTTTGTTCATACATACGCACACATACAGTTTCTATGACAAAATTTGTCTGAAAGTATTGTTTAATCTAATAACTGTTTATAAATCATAAAATAGTGCAACTATTTCAATGGACTTCGTTTAAAAGATTTGCATGTAATTAACCATTTATTTTTCTGAAAATATGACAGCTTGATTAGTTAAAATGAAGAAGTATTAAACTTCAAGAAGTTGAAACACTTATACTCCGTTAGGTCTAAGATACAGCATTTCAATAATTTTGTTTTTAAAATAAAATTAGCTTTTTTTTCTTTTTTTATAAATCGTGTTATTGATAAATTTATATATATATATAATCTGTAAACACCTGTTAATTCTTAAGGGACATTGTCCCAGAATAAAGTTATTTTTTATTCGACATTTGTTATTTAATCTATTAAATAAATTTGTAGGAATACCATTCACATGAGAAGGGGGGAGGGGAATTATCATTACTCATAAATTTGGTTAACTTTTGTGTTTCCAATTTCCAGAAACGACTTCCTATTTCATAGATAAAGATATTATTTTAATTTTAGGATGATGTTACTCTCGAGTTGTTAGTTTTACGATAGATTAAACAAATAAAATCAATGAAAATTTCTAAATATACCTGTGAAATGTAGAACGGAGCTTTCTGGTTGATTGCGTTGTTGATGTTAGTGTAGAGAGTCCTGAAGCCGTCTCTGTCGCTTACGAAGAAGGGAGATTCCTTGGAACTCCTTTCGATTACATTCACTCCAGGGGCCACTGTAAGGAACAGTGTTACAAATATCAACTAGACTTCAAAGTAAATTTATTTATTATTGAAAAGTATTCTAATTCAATCGTTACGATTTTTAAGTATTAGAGATAAATTTTAGTGGAATATATTCATAAAGTAATATAACGAAACTTACATTTGACGAGGAACCTGTCAATCTCGAAGAATCCCAACCTAGCTTGTTCCACTGAGAGGACACGGTCTTCAGAGTCGTACTTCTGTCCCAAAAATACCCTGACAATTCCCTCGCCGGCCTGTTCGCTGTTGACGGTCACTTTGTAATTGTAAGGCTTGTGGTTGAGGCGGTACTGCCTGGCGATGTATCTGTGGTCGGTGTAGTCGCTGCTCTTCTGCATCGGGACTGCATTTGTCACTTCGTAATCGAACATATCGAAATAGGTAACCATCTTGTCAACTTCGATGTTCTGAACTGACACTCCGTTGAAACCAAGCTAAATAGACCAAAAACATTACTTATTGAGTACAAATAATTAGTAAATTGCGCTTTAACCGTGGATTCATATCTGACCAATATTCTTAGCTTTTATTAGGGGAATGTTATTACTTACTTCTGCGTGACTGTAAGGAGCATGTAATTTCGCGTAGCGTTGGAAGTACCTGACGACCATCCTTGCCAGATAGTTGAAGTACACTGGATCTCTGGCAGCTGTGATGGGTAGTGCAAGGGCATTGCCTACGAACTAAATATCCCAATGTAAGTATATTAATATGTAAGATTAGATAAATAAAATTTGTATTTGAGCAGGTATTATGACTTACTTCACGGTCGCCAGCTCCTGAAGAGACGTAAGTGAGAGCTTCGATGGCAGCGTAGTAGGCAGACTGGAAGTAATCCTTGCTCGGGCTGTCGACTGTACCGAACACCATTCTTCCGATAAGGTCCATACCGTCCTCATTGTTCAACGAGAGGAGAGTCTTGTTCGACTAAGGAATAAAATATCTTGTAAATAGAAGAGGATGTACTAATTATTAAAGTATTTTTGGATCGATACTCCCAAGATAAAAACATTTTGTTGAGAAATGATTTTACAAAATTATATATACCATTATTGCTCAACGCAATGAGATAGAAAATCGAATGAGAACTGTTGTTGCATTTTCAAAATTAAATTTTTCGATTTTAATCAACAATCACATAAAATAAAAGACTTGCTGTACGTACTGTTTCCCAAATAGCACCAGCATCGACGGCATCCATGATTCTTCTCTCGAAAGTCTTTGCCCTGGCGACCCAACGGTAAGCGAACTCTGTTGGGATCATACCGTCTGGTCTGGTGTGCATCGGACGTCCATTAAAGAAGGCAACGCGGGGGTTGTAGCCAACCTTTAATAACAATTATAGTATTCATAAAATATCCATATGTTCAACCGAATCAAAAACTGAATTGAGATTGCATACCATGATTGGTTTTTCCCAGATAAGGGGATCTAAATTGGGCAGACTGTTGGCGTTCCTCTCATGTAAGTACCTGGCCAAAAGTTGCTGGAGCATGTGGTAATAGTTCTCACCCCTCCTCTTCATCATCCAGGGGCTGTTGTACTTGTCTTTGCACATCCATTGAGGGTTCCTGAAGGTCATGTCGGAAAGGTAGCTGTTGAGGCCGACATCTTCCCGGAAGTAGGCAACCTTGATGTCGCTGTGTCCTCGTTCTTCGCTGTAGAGGAGGCCGCCGTACATTGAGTCGTGGTAAATATACTCGTATCCGGTGTTATTGTATGTGAATCTTCCTTCTTTGAGGCCTGTTAAAGAAAGTTAAACTTTTAATGAGTATCTTAAATCGCTTTATGTCGGCGATAATATTTTATTTCTGTGTCTTCCAAAACTAATCATATTGAAAAGTAAAAATTAAACACTGAAAATTATTACAAATAAATTTACAAATAATTATATATAAAAAATATCTGATAGATTCGGTATAGATGATCTTTTTATTTTTAGTGAATTTAATTATCTTCCAAAAAGTGTGTACTTTTTTAATTATTCGTAAAATAAACAACAAATGTTTTCTTTATAGATTTTACTTAAAAAATATTTAAAATATAAATGTAATAAAAAGATTTAGGTAGAAAACTTTAATCGAATTTGTTAGATTCGTTTTGACGATACAGTCTATAGAAAAATACGTTTTTCGAGAATCACCCTGAGACGGCATGTGGTTAATGATGGAAAATCTAAAAATGATAATAAAAAAAGGGGTGAGCGACTTTGTCTCAGAATAGATTTTTTTCGCACTTCATTCCATATACTTCACATATATTTCTCATGTCTCCTCGTGTTATAATTAAAACTTATGAAGAAAGTACAAAATTATAATTGTGCAAAATTGTTAATTTTTTTCTAGAACAATTAAAAAAACTCCATTATTGAAAATATAAAAGGTAAACCAAGTGTGTAAGAATGCATAAAATAAACAGGCACTACCTGTGATACCTGTGGGTAAAGATGGTTTAGTATTTGACACTTCAAGTTTTTTCGAGGCTACATGTATTGTTTATATATATATGTATATACACACATTTCAGTTATTGTTAAGTTAATTATTAATTACAACATACCTGAAGCAATAAGAAAATCATTATAACATTGTTTGAACTTGTAAGATACTGAAGTGTATTTCGTGGGTTTATTGCAAAAATTCATTCAGTAAAATTTCACAAAATCAAATCGCTAAATTATATGATGATTTTTTTTCTGTGAAATCAGAACATTATGCATTTACTTGATAACTCTTTCTGGTTTATAAAAGGGTGCGTGTCATCTTTATTATCTTACTGCTTTCTTTCATCGATAAATAAGTTCGGAATTCATTTTAAACGTACTTAAAAGTTTATCTCCATCATAAATGTACTTTGTGGATTTATAGAAATAAACCGACGATGTGTATTCTTGTTTAACTTTTTTTCTTACCTATCTCTTTTACTTCATAGAAAAATTTAAATAATTATGGTGACGTCACCTTCCATTTTGGCATCATAGACTTCGTGAAGAGTGTCGATGGGTACGAAAAAGTTGGGGAACATCTCATATTGCGGTGGGAGCACGAAGTCCTGGCAATCGCTCCTGTGGATCAGCGCCAACATGTAAGCGTAAGTGAACATGCCGCCGTTGAGGTGTTGCTTAGCCCAGCAAGCCGACTGGATGGGAAAAAATAATTGTTATCAAGTATCTGTTATAAAAAAATAACTGTTCCAAAGGGATTTAGATATGATAATGATTATATTTTAAGGACGTACCTTGTAGAAGGTGTCGAAATCCTTGGCGAAGTAGAACACGTCGAATAGACGAATTGTGTCAGATCTTGAGCGATAGCAGGACATGGTGAAGATGCTACCTTTAGGCAACATACCTTTGGCAAACGACCTCATGAACTCTTTTGGATACTTCTCATCCTAGTTAAAACAAAAAGTATAGTCTTATAACTAAACATTATTTATAAACTTTTAAAGTTTTCCTAGCTGTATTCCACTTCAATTGGTCCTAAAATTAAGAAATTCCATTATGCTCTTCGTATTAGAAAAAAAAAAAAAATATCCTACTGGACATTAATATGCTCTTGAAATTAAGTAACATGTATTTGAAAAATATAAGTTGTAAAAGATATCTGAAGAACTTTATAAAACAATTATGAACATAACAATGAGTTACCGAAAAGCTGAATAGATTTTACAATTTTTTTTCGTATTAAAAATGACAAAACTGGATGCTAATTAAAGGAAGATGACACTACAAGATAACATTTAAGGCAACACAATGCATTTAATAGAATAATTTCTCGACGGTTTAAGTGGGTGTTGAAAGTTGAACATGATCATGAACGAAACCCTAAAAGGTTTATAAGACCCGACTAGTAAATTGAGGGAGTTACACCGAAACGTATGTGGCAGGATTATGTTTAAGCTGACTATTTCAACGAAGGTCTTAAAATTACTCGTATCTTGAAATAAAATGATCTTGTAATTTTATCAAATTTATGTGATTTCTAAAAAATATCAACCAAACAACCATAATGAGATTTTAAATACAACATATTTTAAATATATCGAAATAGTCGAGTGAGATTCAAATCTATAGGGTTGGGTGTGAGGGTGGAGCGGTCTTAATATTTTTATATTTGGACGGCATTTAACAGAAGAGAATCGATCCCCAAACTACGCAAAAATGAGGTGTTTTTGAATGAGATTAGCGTTTTAAAAACAAAAAAAATCGTTTGGTTCAGATAGCTCCACTGGAAACTTGAAATTAAAATAAAATATTGGAAATAGAATGAGTAGTTTCTATTCAAATAATAGTAATTAAAAAAAAAAAAAACCAAACCGCAATAATTTTTTTTTAATCAATCTATTGATATATATTGGGGTGGATAAAACATAAAAAAATAAAATTAAGTTTGTGATAAAGAAGAAAATATACTGATTTGGAAGCTTCAAGATTTTTCAAAATCATGTAGGTTTGACTTTAATTTACTCAAAACATGTCCAATGTATAATGTTTCCATTCTGTTAAGCGCCATTTCGGGTTTGATTTTCCGAAGATAGTTACTTACCGTGAAGGATCCGAGGTTAGCCATCATGTCGAAGTTCGCACACTCCATTTTCCAATGATCGCTGTGGCCGACTCCAACAAACAGGTCTAAAACCTGCTTCTGCTGTTTCAGGAAGTTCGCATCAGCTATAAAAAAAAAATCGTTTATTAATTCTCTATGAATTAAAATGTATCCATTTATTGAGAGAATTCGTGTTTGTTTTTATTTCTTCAAATAGTTTAAGTAGTGGCATTGCTGTAATCCCACTTGATACGTTTTCGAGACATCTTAAATTTATTTATACGAGATTAAACAAAAAAGTTTTGACAAAAGTGGAGATCAGCAATTTAATTGGAGGATTATAGAAAACAAAAACGAAAATAATCCATGATTTAATGAAAAATAGAACTTCGCACAGTTCAGCCATTTGAATATATTCCTTAAAATGGTTTCGACTAAGACGAATAATTTATTGAAGTTATTTTTGCCGAAAACATAGGTGATCTGGAGCAACTGTATATCAAACCACGTATTTTTTTTTATTCTAGAATTTGTAATTGCAAATCTTTGAAAAAAATATATAAATAAAATTAAAAAAAGATGAAATAATTCATGTTTAATTTATTTTAAAATTATATTTCCAATGCTAGAAAATGTATTAAAATTAAAAAAAAAACCTAATACATTGTATAAAAAATCTTAAATTAGCAACATTCTAAAGATTTTATAAACTTTATTTTTATGATTTTGAATATGTTTTATTGAAGCTAGTTCAAACTTCGCAAAATTCAATTTACTATGGAAAGGGAAAATCAAATATTTAGAAAAAAAAATCTTAAAATCAAAAGAACAATTTTTCGAAAAATGGTATTTTATTTCTTCTTGAAATGCTTTTAAGTGGAATTTAAAATTTAAAAATAAAAATAAAACAGGAATTTAAATTTCTTATTTGTCTGTGTTAAATGTGGAATATTGTTTATATAAGCTTTTTAGTTCCTCTTGCGGACTATTACTTCTTTAGATATCTGACTTTACATATTAGACACCCGGTATATATATATATATATATATATATATATATATATATATATATATATATATATATATATATATATATATATATCACACATGCTCTATGAACTGAAGAGGACTTACCGATCTTCCTTTCGGGTCTCTGCTGCACGACAGAGGCCGAGATGGCGGTGGCCGAGACCAGTACTGTAAGCAATGACAACATCTTGCTTGCTGTTGAACCTCCTGCCGCTGGCGAGCAGTATATATACTCCCTATCTGCTCTGACCTTTGTGTCTTCGTCCAGTTTTTTTCTTAATTGATATCTGTTATCTTCCAACTAACTACTTCGGAACTTTTCCACAGGATCGGATTTGCAGTGCTTAGACACAGAACCTGAGGCGAATCTAGAAGGGGGGGGAGGGGCTTTCGGGTTGAAACCCCCCTAAAATCTCGATGTTTTCTACTATGAGTCATCTAAGCTAAATACCTAAAATAATCATGGTATGTTCTATTTTTAAATTATTATACTAATACAGCTACTAAATATCGCCATGTCTTATGAAATAAATATTAAAAAATTGTCCCTAAAGGTATTATAATATAGTTCGTGTAATTACTTCTTTTTTTCATTAATTTTGGTTTGTCTATAGGGCAGTATAATAAAAAATGCATTTAGTTTTAATAGTGATTTATCAGTGTTTCAGTCTTTTTATTTGAATACATTTTAATAATAACCCTCATCCGAGGTAAAACGAAGAGGAACTTTTTAAACAGAAGATTCTGGGTTACCCTATCCAAAGTGTTCGGTACGGTGGCGGATCCAGGATTTAATTTTTTGGAGGCCTAAGCCCGGAAGCTTTTATATATATACACGGGCGGATCTACGGGGGGAGGGGCTTTCGGGCTGAAGCCCCCCCCAAAATGGTAAAATGTAACCATATTTTACAGAAAAAAATACTTTATACTATCTCTTAAAGTATTCTTGTTGGTGTAATTACGTTTAATAGGACTTCAAGAACCACTTAAACACCATTTCATATAGATAATTAATTAATTTCTTTTTTTTTTCAAATTAATTATCGTTATATATATATATATATATATATATGAAAAAAAAAAACTGTCGGGCTGAAGCCCCCCCCCCAAAACTAAATCCTGGATCCGCTAGTGTATATATATATATATATATATATATATATATATATATATATATATATATATATATATATATATATATATATATATATATGTATATTTTGTCTTTACAATTTCACCTGTTAATAATAATCAAAACTCAATGTATTATTATACTGACCTATTATAATAATATTATTATAGGCAAAGAAATAAATGAAAACATAAATTTGAAAAAATAAGGTGAAAAATGGAACTTTTTTACTTTATTATTTTTAATACGGCTTCTAGAATCATTTCATATATACATAGTAGGTTTCTTCCTTTCTCTTCAATAGCATATGAAAACATATATATATAAAAAAAAAATCTTTTGGGCTTGAGTTCCTAAAATTAAATCTGGATCCGCTACAGCACCGAAAACTTGGGATAGGGTAAGTTAAAACCTTCTATTAAGTTTAAGAAGACTCTCTTCGTTTTACATCAGATGGGGGTTACTGGTAAAGAGTATTAAAGGAAGAAGGCTGAAACATTATTATTAGTTATATTATCTTTATCAATTATTAAAAATTAGGATTCCTTTTTTTTTTTTACGCATTAGAAAATTTCTTGAATTATTTTATATCGGGCAGAATGTCCATAGAATTTTCGACTTTTTTTCTCGAAAAATGAGGAATTAATGTGTTGAAAGTTTGAATATTATTTTCTCCCCATTAAAATGTAAGCATATTTTTTAAAAGGTTATTGTTAAGCCTTTTACACTATTCTGGGTGAAAACTCAAATTCCTTAAAATACATCGAAATAAAAAAAAAAAAAAAATACCCGTAATGAAGAGTTTGTAATGGAAATTTTAAAAAGATTTTTTTTTTCTTAACCACGTGGGATGTAGTGTTGCGAACAGGCTTATTTACGTTATAAAACGTCAATACATTATAAAAATAAATAAATAATAATAAATAAAATAAAGTTGTGATTTTTATTGTATATTATATACTGGATCAAAATTATTCAAAGGAAAACTCATAGATAGGTCATTTTTGTTATACAATCACTAAATCATCAACCAAATTCTCTCTCTCTCTCTCTCTCTCTATATATATATATATATATATATATATATATATATATATATATATATATATATATATATATATATATATATATATATATATAAAATTTAATTATTTTTCATATTAGTTTTGTTTCAACATCAGTATCAATTGACACTTTAGTTTATTAATTTTCGTCTTTAATTATACATTGCACTCTTGCTCAATCTCCACTGGGTTTAGCCCCAGTGACGAGGTTGAGAGAGAAGTGCTGGGATCTCCTGGAGCCACGCTTTTCCCTCCACACTTGGAGGGACAAGTATGGTTTGGAGTTCCCTCACCAGATTGTAAATATTGTATATGTGTAAATAGTGTATATGTATGTGTTCTTTTTATTCATTTATTTTTAGGTTATTTTATTCTTATTTATTGTATATATGTTATTTTCCTGTATAATTTATTTTATTTACTGTACATAGAGTGTGAATGTGATCTGTGAACACTATTATAAATGTCCTTGAGACAGATTGTAATATTTTTCAATAAAAAAAAAATGTTAAAAAAAAATTATACATTTCAAAATAATTTCCTTTTTAATTTACTCGAAGAGTCGCATATAAAAAAAAAAAAAAACTGTTTACTTCATTATGGTTAGAATGACTTAATAAAATAAATTAGCAATATTGAAAATCACCATCAGCTAACTTTACGAGCTTCTGCTACATTTGTTATATAAATATTACTATTAATGTTATTTTTAATTGTTCTATAGATCTTTAGTATATATTTTCAGAAACAAAAATTTTTTATTATGCTTTTTTTTTTTTGCTTTGACTTGACCTGAATATACAATCTATAGTAAAAGGAAATATCGTGATCGTGAAAAAGTTCGGATAAGAAGTCCAAAAGTTTGGTAAAATGGACTGTAAACAGCCTAGCTAGAAAACGAAAAATCGTACGAAACTTAAGTTATGTAATGAAGATAGATATACGCCTAGGATGTTACGGCAATTTTTCGCCAAAATCGATTCATCGGAAGTGGTACTTCATATTATCCAATTAAAACATTTTTACAATTTTCTCAAAAATGGCTCCAACGATTTCGATCAAACTTTATATCAGTGTACAATATAATGTTCTTTAACATCGGGCAGGTAGTACCTTCATTCAAATGGTCTGACAGCACCCAAATGCCGGTTTTTCAAAATTTCTTCCTCTAAAGTACCTTTTTTTAAAATTAAAAAAATAACCATTTCACGTTGTAACTTGATATTAATAAAAACAATTTATCATTAACTTAAGGAGAAATAAGGGTTAGTAAGATGGGATCTAGAACCTTCGCAATTGTGAAGAGTGCCCGCTTTTTGTCGGTCCTCGTCCATTTACGATCACCCGGACACCCCTCTGCATAGGTTATTCATATTGTTACTTAAACTATTATATTTAGCTTAGCTATAATTTTCAAAAAGAATTTTCATCTGGAATGTAGAGGATTTACCTGTATTATCCAATACATTTGCTACTCTTACTGCAAAAGGTCGCATGTAATAATTTTCTATGTTTGTTCTGTTTGTAATAAAACTGCCATTTTGTAGTCTGCAACTGCATTTAGTAGCCTGCTACTACAGAATATAGCATAGGAAAATAAAATATGAAATCATCCTGATAAATCATAATGAATTAATCTCTTTTCATCATCTTTTGTAAAAAAACTTAATTTTTACATACGACCTTTGGACTAACAGTAGCGCTATACTAATATTAACTTCCTTTTTCAACAAGTCTGGTTCCTGATGTTTCGGATTAACCTGAGAATTTTCCGAAACATCCACTTTTCACTCTCTCTTTTTTTTTTTCTGTTGGCATTACATACCTCGTAGACCTTTTGCCGCTTGAACCAGCCTTCTTAACCTTTGCCTGTCTTCGGTTATTTTTTTTCAGTCACCTGCATGCAGCTCTATAGTCCGTGGGTCAGAACTCCCTACCATGCACCCCCTCCACATCCCTATGAATTGCATATCGCTGTGTTCCTTGCAACTATTTATTATAAAAAAGCCAATATACCCACCAAAACAAGTGAATGTACTGGCCCAAAATGGCGTCCAAACATGGCGAACTGACGACTTTGACTTTAGTTATTTTTTTGGTCACCGAGAATCAGAATTTGGTTTAATTTTGTCATAGTCGGTCTTTTATTAAAGCTGGACAGTCAGAAAATAATAAAGCATGAACACATATTAAAAAATAACTGGCTTAGGCAATAAAAAACAACAATAAAGTTAATTTTCAAGTTGAAAATCAAGCATCGTTTGTAGTTAAATGGCCAACAATAACGGAAAACGTGCTAAAATAAAACATCTGGGGGATATATTTCTGTTTCTAAAACACTGATTACTTTTTAAAATAAATGAAGGAGTTCTATAGAAAATGCACAGAAGCGACAGAAAAGCGGTACTGGCGTGGGAACCTACAGGCCTCTACCACACCAATCAGTACTCATAAATGGCTTAGTTATAATGCTATAATAAAGTTGTTGGTACATTATATTGATTCTATTAACGAAAAAATATTAATGCAATAATTTAATTGTCCAAATTTCTTCATATTTCTTATTATTTATTTATTTTTATATTTAATTTCTTTTATTCTATACGGAAGTCATTTATAAAGGCCTCTATTGTAAAAATTATACAATTCCAATAATAAAACTTAATTATATTGATTATGTTAACGAACAGATATTAATGCAATAATTTAATTGTCCAAAAAAATTATACAACTTTTTTAAAAACTTATTATATATATATATATATATATATATATATATATATATATTTTAATTTATCTTTCTTTATTCTATACGAAGGTCGTTTAAGAAGGCGACTATTGTAAAAATGATATAATTCTAATAATAAAACTTAATTCAAAAATACTTCACTGAATATCTTGAATTTTTTATTTAACGTTTGCAATAAAACACTTTTTTTGTAATTTAAATTGTATATACTTCCTTTCTTGTTCGCTTAGTGTATTTTTCTAATTTTCGGGTTCGATTCCGCGTTTTCCCTCATTTTGGGACCAAATATTACTAATACTAAATACTACTGATACTAATAACCAGTTCCGGTTACCTAGAAGAATTTATAGCTTCGCCTTTTCCATCTTTCTTTGTGCAGAGAGAATA